CTACTACTACTACTACCACTACTACCACTACTACCACTACTACCACTACTACTACTACTACTACTACTACCACTACTACAACTACTACAACTACTACTACTACTACTACAACTACTACTACTACTACTACTTCTACTACTACTACTTACTACTACTTACTACTACTTACTACTACTACTACCACTACTACTACTACTACTACTACAACTACTACTACTACTACTACCACTACCACTACCACTACCACTTCTAACAGATAAAAATCACATAAAAGCACTATACACGTAAGTAAAACATGAATAAGAAAGAGATCATAAAAAAGAAAGAGAATGACTTATACCGGTAATCAATTATACAGTGAGGCTGCTCATGGAAAAAATATGTACCTTTTTATACCAAAAGACTGTTTCTATAGGCTCTCAAAAGTATACCAACAAAAAGCCTGAGGCCCGGTGGGGTCACTCCCCTGCAAAGAGTGACACGTATGACCGTTACCACCAATGCATATAACCCCCTTTTGCGGTCAATTTCAAGGACATTTTGTGAAATTTAACCCCCTTTTTTACGTCAAAACAAGGACAAAATCGTACTTTGGAATACCCCTATTTATAAGATTGTAAGGACACTTTCGCAAATTTACCCCTATTTTACCACATTTCAAGGACAAGACTCGGCTCCGAGAATTTTTCTTCCCGGTTTTCTCTTTTCCCTTTTCCTGACCCCTATTTATCAATTTCGGGGACACCTGTGCCCCCCTATTTTCTTTATTTCGAGAAATATTTTGCCGCGAACATTGCTTGAAATTGACCCCTTTTCCGCGATTTTGGTAACGGTCATGCGGTCCGGAAATCACATTGAGTGACCCCACCGGGGCCTGAGGTTGCCTAGCTGCTCAACAACACGTATGACTGATATTTGAGCCCATACTTAGTACCATAATATTAAAAATACAAAAATATGTATGATCATCAGGAAGAGAATCAAAGGTTATTGTTATCAAGTTTGCTTTTTCAGGCGACACCAAGCAAATAACTGCAAAATTGTGGGTAGAGGATAGTTCCTGGGTCTCAATATTACCTTACAAAGCTACTGTGCATGCGCTATATGCGTGAACCACTTTTGTTTACAACAGGATACAGAGCTTGCCAAAGAAAGAGATATCTTCCAACTTTTCCTTCATTTCTTTCTTTCTCTCCTTTCTTCAATATTTTTTCATTTCTTTCTTTCTTTCTTTATCTTTCTCAATTTGTTTGTTTGTTAGTGTGTTTGTTTGATTGTTTCTTCCCTTCCAGTTCTTCTTTCCTTTTCTGCAATATGCCATTATTATGCGAGAAAAAAACTAATTGCAAGCCGATTTAGCCTACAAAGTCACTTCATGATCGACAACTTTATACTTCAAATCGTCTTCAACTCCCGCTTATACTAGGCATATGATTCCCTCCCCTTAACCCACCTCTATTCACATTTCAAAACATATATTTATATTGCATTTTTATTTTATTGTTTCAAAACATATATTTATATTGCATTTTTTATTATTGGAAGGTAATATTGAGACCCAGGAACTATCCTCTACCAAAATTGTGGTACTCCTTTTTAAAATTTTCAAGGAAAGTACTTACTTGATGGGGTACTTCTCACCAGGGTCACGTCCAAGATGGAAGAGGAGCGGAGAGAGGGTGTGGTTGACCTGTTCATGGGTCATGACCCCTGTGACATTTTCACCACGGCAGAAGTTTACTCCCTAAATTAACAACAGGAAAAGAAACATTTGTTCAAAACGAGACAAAAAAAGAAGAAAAAATGAGACTTATTTCTAAGCACCACAGGATACTCATTCATTCATTTGACCTTTCAGTTGATAGGTTTACGGTTTGACCCGAAGCACAGGGTACAATGTATATGTCCTAAGACTAATCATTAAATCAATACCAGATTCTCTCAACACAGGTGTTGCAAACTGGACCTGGTACATGACAGGATTTGTTCCTTGGAACGTACTGTGCTCTAGATGATAATACCTACCTGATCTACATGTTTGTATTAAGTATGTACATATGTATAGCACTGCTGTAGTTTGATGAAGCCTCTTAATTGACTCTCGAAGGAGACGACCTGGGTTTGACCCTTACCCAGTGGTTTCATCCTGGGACAAGGGCTTTTAAACACATTTGTTTCTCTCTACCCAGGTGTATCAAATGGGTACCTGACAATTCTGGGGACATAACAGTAACATTGCTCAGGAAGAGTCAGATAAATACTGATTAGGCTAGCTACCCAGGATAAACAGAACCATATTACATTATATCAGGGAATTTGAGGATTTGATATGAACGAAGAACGATACATAAACATTACATTATTATCATTATCATGCCATGATAAGAAACAGAATAATAATATTGAATGATAACTTAAAATACTTTAATAAAGTCCCTAGGAATACGGAATGTGCGTGTTTTGGGATGAGGTGTACAGCCTGAATCAGGCAACTCGGTGTAGTATAATGTGCATCATTGTAACTGCTTGAAATAAGACTACACTTCACCAGATACGAGACTGGGCTGTGTGGTATTAAATGGTTGAACCTAGATCACGTCTCACCGCCTCGTCTGTTGACTTACAGTAATTGTAAGGTATCTAACCACCACAATATGGTGGCAGCGGTAAAAATTGAATCATGGAAAAATCACTCCCATTACCAGAGACTTTTGAGAAGGTTGCTGGCCTGAATCAAGCTGATGCATGGCCAAAATGGTTCCGGAGGTTCAAACGCTATCGGACTGCATCGGGGCTCGCTACACAGCCGGATGGAGAACAGGTCAGTACACTGTTGTATGCCATGGGTGACTGTGCGGACGACATTATTATGACTCGGGGTATTGATGAAAGCACCGCAACTTACACGAGCGTTGTGGCAGCATTCGAAGCACATTTCAACATAAGAAAGAACACTATCGTTGCAAGGGCAAAGTTTAACAGGCGTAGCCAGCAGCCTGGGGAAAGTGTAGATACTTTCATTAACGATTTATATCGGCTAGCTCAAGACTGTGAGTACAAAACATTAAAAGATGAACTGATCCGAGATAGGATAGTTGTCGGTGTGCTTGATGATGGATTGTCTGATCAACTCCAAGCGAAGGATGATTTGACATTAGAGAAGGCCGTTCAAGTAAGCAGGCAAGCAGAAGCTCGAAAAGCAAATAGACCAGTTGTTCGAGGTGAAAGAATACATGCAGATGTTGCCCACGTAGAGCAAGTAAAACAAAGAAATGTAACTGACACAAATGTAAGACCAAAACGCAGCCAGCAAGACACACGTACAAGTCAAATGCAAGGTGGTTGTATGTTTTGTGGCAGACAGAAGCATGACCGTGCCAATTGCCCCTCCCGAGAGGCTACGTGTCATAAGTGTGGAAAAATCGGTCACTTTCGAGCGGTATGCCGCAGTTCATCATTTGGAGCAAAGAATACAGTGCATGAGTTGGAGGATTCCCTTGAGGTGGAGACTGTTTTCCTGGGTGAGATTAAGGACACCAGCAAGAACTATTGGGGTGCTTATCTTCAAGTAGATGGCAACACTACGCACTTCAAATTAGACAGTGGTGCCGCGGTAACTGTACTGTCAGATGGATTACAGTGGCTTCGTGGAATAAAACTGAAGCCTGCAAATAAGAGACTCTGCGGACCAGGAAAAACAAAACTAGAAGTTTTGGGACAGATCAAAGCCATTCTCCAACACAAAAATAGGAGAGTCTCAGAAACCGTCTACGTTGTCAGGAATCAAGATTGCTCATTGCTCAGCAGAAAGGCATGTGAAGAGCTGAATCTATTGATCAGAGTAGAGGAACTTGGAGATACCCAGAAGGAGCAGGCGAATTTCAGGGCTGAATTTCCACAGCTATTCACTGGATTGGGGAAACTAGAATGTGAGTATCATATCACACTATCCCCAGGAGCAAAACCGGTATGTCTCTACACACCTCGGAGAGTTCCTCACCCCCTCTTGCCAAAAGTGAAGAAGGAGATTGACTCGATGTTAGAACAAGAAGTAATTTCTCCTGTTACAGAGCCTACGAAATGGTGCTCCGGAATGGTACCAGTCCCAAAACCTAGTGGAGCAATCAGGATTTGTGTTGATCTTACACAACTCAACAAGGCAGTAGAGCGGGAAGTACATCCAATGGCATCAGTTGATGAAAGCCTTGCCAAGCTAGGGAGAGGCACTATCTTCACCAAGCTGGATGCAAACAGTGGGTTCTGGCAGCTGCCCTTAGATGAAGAATCGAAGCTTCTGACGACTTTCATCACGCCGTTCGGTAGGTTTTGCTTCAATAGGCTACCGTTCGGGATTACATCCGCTCCCAAGATATTCCAACGCACAATGTCAGGTATCCTGGAGGGTCTGGAAGGAGTCATCTGCCATATGGATGATGTTCTGATACATGGAGCTACAACAGCAGAACATGACACTAGGGTGAGAGCAGTGTTGCAGCGTTTTGTGGAAGCTGGCCTCACCCTTAACAGCAAATGTGAATTTTCACGAGAGACAGTGAAATTCTTAGGCCACATTGTGGATGCAACAGGTGTGAAAATTGATCTAGAAAAAACACGGGCAATCAGAGAGTTTCCGGCACCAAGGACCATCACAGAACTTCAAAGATTCATGGGTATGGTTAATCAAGTTGGAAAGTTCCTACCCAATTTGGCAGTCATGAATGAACCGCTACGTGCACTCTTGAGGAAGGACAACGGATGGTGCTGGGACGAACCACAACAGAGAGCATTTGAGCACATAAAGAAAATGCTGACAGATGTCACTGAAGTTCTTGCCCACTACAACCCATCATTGCCTCCAACTATTGCTGCTGATGCATCGTCGACTGGAGTAGGAGCAATACTGCTCCAGACTCAGAACGATGGACACCGACGGCCAGTCTGCTATGCATCCCGTTCGCTGACTGAGACTGAGCAACGTTACGCAGTCATTGAGAAGGAAGCTCTAGCGGCTACATGGGCATGTGAAAAGTTCAGTGACTATGTTCTTGGTATGTCCTTCAAAATTGAAACTGACCACAAGCCTTTGGTCACACTGCTCAACACAAAGGAATTGTCAAAGTTGCCCCCTAGGGTGCTGAGATTTCGACTAAGGTTGATGAGATATGATGCAACCACAGAATACGTGCCTGGAAAGCAACAGGCCACAGCAGACGCCCTCTCAAGAGCACCAGTAGCATCCCCAAAGCCAGAGGACATAGAGCTAAACAAACTGACTGAAGCCTTCGCATCTTCATCTACCCTCACCTTACCTGCAACAGACCGGAGACTGGAGGAGATTAGAGAAGCACAGAGACTTGATGAAGAATGTGCGTTAATCAGAGAGTATTGTGAGAAAGGCTGGCCTGACTACATGCCTCACAACTCTATCCTCAGGCAATACTTCGAACAGAGGGGACACCTCAGTGTGATTGATGATTTGCTCCTGTATGATGAAAGACTGGTCATTCCCAGGGCTCTGAGACTAGACATCCTACAGCGCTTACATCAAGGTCATCTAGGCATCACAAAGTGCAGAGCCAGAGCTCGACAGTCGGTCTGGTGGCCAGGCCTCTCGAAGTCAGTGGAAGAGATGATCTCCAGATGTACTACTTGTGCCATCCATAGCCAGGAGACTAAAGAACCACTGATGACTTCGTCCTTCCCAATGCGTCCTTGGGAGAGACTAGGAATGGACCTCTTTGAGTATCAAGGAAAGATGTTTCTGATAGTAGTGGACTACTATTCAAGATGGATAGAAGTAAAAAGGCTTCATGGACACACTTCTGAAGCCGTGATCAAATCCTTGAAGGAGATATTTGCTGTACACGGTATCCCTGATGTGGTGATTTCGGATAACGGACCACAATTCGCGAATGAGACTTTCCAGAAATTCGCAGAGAAGTTTGGATTTGTCCATACTACCAGCTCGCCAAGGTATCCTCAGGCAAATGGGGAAGCGGAGCGAGGTGTACGTACAGTGAAAGCCTTGTTGAAAAAGAACGATGATATCGACCTTGCTTTGCTGAGTTACCAGTCGACACCACTTCAGAATGGTCTGGCGCCATGTGAGCTGCTCATGGGACGGAGACTGCGAACTGAACTCCCCACTCTACCTGATACACTTATGCCACAAGTCCATGCTCAAGACTTGGAAAAGGTGAGAGTGAGAGAAGACAAGTACCGTTCAAATCAGACACTGAACTACAACCAACGACATAGAACCCGCATCTTACCGACCCTACAGCAAGGTGACGGAGTGTGGATCCGAGATCAAGCTCGCCGTGGTCAAGTGGTCAGTGGGACCCGTCATCCACGTTCCTACATCATCCAAACGGATAACGGTAGGGTGAGACGAAACAGACGCGCCTTGGTAGCCCTTCATAGCCCGGATGTCACCGACCCTGACAAAGCCCCCTCTACCCCCTCAACCCCTCTCAATGATGACGACATTGTAGGTCCTGAGCAACTTCCCAATCCCCCGCCTACCCAGGGTCCTCAAAACACACTGGGATATCATACCCGTTCTGGTAGACTAGTCAAACAACCACATCGATTGACTTTGTAGAAGATAAAAGGGAAGCATGAAGAAAAGAAGTTTGAAGAAATCAAGATAAGAAGATTCGTAATGAACATTACTTGACAAGGGATATTGGATAATGTAATACAAAGTTTGTGTATGAAAACAAGAAGTTGGCTCAAGAAATATATATACACCCATGCACTCCCAAATTAGTGTTTTAATGTAACTTGAAAAGAACTATCAAATACTTGGGGGGAGATGTAGTATAATGTGCATAATTGTAACTGCTTGAAATAAGACTACACTTCACCAGATACGAGACTGGGCTGTGTGGTATTAAATGGTTGAACCTAGATCACGTCTCACCGCCTCGTCTGTTGACTTACAGTAATTGTAAGGTATCTAACCACCACAATACTCGGGTATTATTATTTCTGTAAAATGTCTTAATAGAAACATTGTGAATGTATTAGTCGCTATGTCATTATGAAAATTATTATAAAATTCATACTAATGGTACATCAACGCTCACTCACGCTCATGAATTCTTCAATGGAGTTTGTCCAGGTCCAGTAGTGTGCCTTATACAGCCCATGCCTGACGGCCATCATCTCATTGCCACGGTAATAGTACATTGTCTTGTTAGCGTCCATGGTATCACTGAGCAAGGCTGGTAGCAAGTTTTGTCCATCGATGATTCGATCAGTAGGAGGATCAATATCAGCCACGCTAAGAGCTGTGGTGAAAATGTCCATGACGCTGCCAATTTGATGAGTAACCTGCATGATAGAGATTTTTTTACAAAGGTGACCAAATATTGCAGGGTTAATTTCAGCTTTGGTTGCATCTGTCTCTTAAACAATTTCAATCTTTTTTCCACAATTTCATCTTTAGATGTCCTTTGATTGATCATATTTCTATGAGGTGTGATGGCTCAGTGGTAGAACAGAGGTCTCGTTACCAGGAGGTCCCGGGTTCAAAACCAAGTTGATTGATGCGTTAGTGCCCTTCGGTAAGGCTTTAATACTTACTTATGCAAATGTTATTTTTAATGCACCATAAAATACTTACCGGTAAACATACAAGGAACAAGGTTTGTAATCACATACAGTGTATCTTTACGATTTGAGTAAAACTATGTTCAGTATGTTCACAAAAAGTATGCACATGTATAACTTGATTATCAATTATTTATATGATTAGTATATGTCCCAAATACATACATCAACGAGAAAAAGAAATGATATTAAGTGATTTTATTTGTCATACATAACATTTTTAAACAATGATTTTGATCGCAGGACACCAGGCAATGCAGCCAAGAAAACGTGTGACTCAAGTCCACAGGAGTGGATGAAAGCTTGCACAACAAATTTAAGGTTGGTAGAAGCTTAAAAAACTACATGTTAATTAGTTCGTATTTTGTTAAAGAAGTGTTATGTAATGACAAATAAAATCACTTAATATCATTTTTTAAATAGAAACTCACCCTTCCTGGCTTGATATGGTTTGGCCACCATGCTATGGTTGGTTCTCTCATTCCTCCTTCATACGTTGTCTCTTTACCACACAGGAAGGGTCCATTGCTGCCACCTAATGGAAGTGAAATGATTTTAAATAGTCGACTAGAAAAGAATTCCCATCAGAGAATTACGGTAACTTGTCTTGCCTCTTTTCACAAGATCCCTAAAAACATACTTCTTCCCCGCAGCACTTAAATTCTTAATGTGATTTACCTATTTTCTGATCTTAAGAGTCTATGTATTTTTATATCCTGCATCAAAAATTTGTTGGCTTTTGATTGGTTGAGAGCTCGTCACATGACCAGAAATATTTGACCTATTTTTAGAAAGTACTATTATGAGAGTACTATTTTGGGAGTTGAAAAAAAAATGTGAATTTCTTTTTTTGAATTGAATCAATTTTTTTTTTTCAAATCTTAATTTAATGAAAACAAAATATTTTAAATCTTTTAAGATAAAAATTGACACATTTCTTGTTATAAATTGTTTTTCTCCCCCCAATTTTTTTTTTTTTTTTTTTTAAATAAATTTTTGATGCAGGATATAAAACAAATACACAATGCCTTCTATTCCAGGTACTGGTTAAACTATGGGCCTCGCTGACTCCAAAAGTACCATTTGCTTCGGGGCTGCGCTCCTCAGTAAATAGTTATATTGGAGTCACCTCTTGTGCATAGTTTTAACCAGAACCTCTCAAGGCAGTGTATATTTGTATACTAGTTTCTCTTCACATTTTGTAATTTTGTAAGCTTTATGGTACTTTTCGTTTATAGTGCTCCTAAATAGTCCATATTATAATTATTATTGTTAATGTATTTTTTTCAATTTAATTTAATTTATCTATTCTCCACTCATGGGATGGTCAGATTTCCCTTGTCAGCTATAAGCTGTTTTTCAAAGGGGTCCAAATTATATTATCATTAAAGTGCATGACTAAAGGACATGAAAAAGCATGTTAAAATGTTAAAACAATTTGGTAATTGTAATGAGGAGGATGAAGTGACAACTGTTAAACAATTTATGTGATTTTGTTTTTACCATTGTGATCATTAAGGGGAGCCCCATTATCGGATGAGAACAGCACAAATGTGTTATTATCGATGCCATGCGCCTTCAGAGATCCCAGAATCGCCCCGACTCCGTAGTCCAGTTCCCGGACCGTGTCTCCGTAAAGCCCACGCTGGCTCGTGCCGAGGAATTCGCTGGATGCATAATGGGGTTCGTGGGCGCCATCGGGGGCCCAGTATAGGAAAAAGGGCAGCTTGGAAGCCACATTCTTGTCTATGAAATTCAAGGCTTCCTGGAGGGTGTTAGATAAGGGAAAATTGTAATGATGATTAACCAGATTAACCAGTTAATGAACCGTGGTAGAAGAACCAGTTAATGCACCATGGTAGAGAACCAATTTGTTCCAACAACATAAGTGTAGCTGAGTTTTAGAACATCCTACACTCATCGCTTTCGCTTGCATACAATGCTGCACCATTGTCAGAAGAGAAGAGGACAAAAACATCCTACACTCACCGCTTTCGCTTGCATACAATGCTGCACCATTGTCAGAAGAGAAGAGGACAAAAGTATTATTGGCAACCCCAAGTTCTCTGATTTTACCCAGGACCTGGCCTACACCGTAATCCAACTCCATCACAGCGTCCCCGTACAATCCTCTCTGGCTACGCCCCAGGAAGGGCTTGGAGGCATAAAGGGGTTCATGGGTCGCATCGGGGGTCCAGTATAGAAAGAATGGCTGCATGGCTGCCACTGATTTTTCTATGAAGCTCACCCCTTCCTGTGTATACGGTGGACAAACAAAGCTAGAAATTGTAACCTGCCATGGGTTGGTATCTAAATACTGTTTCAAGACTACTCTAGAAGTATTCACGTTAGATAAAGGTGTATCGTAAAGATGACACATAACAAAAATCTCAATTCTTCTTTTTAAAATCTTTTTTTTGCTTTCTCATCATATTTCTCATCATCGCGGCACTAATGTCCTTTGGCAAGACATTGATCTACATTTGCCACACTTAACCCAGGTGATGTAAATGGGTACCTGGCAGGAATTTATTCTTTGAAATGCTAGAGCGCCGTAATGGCAGCCATGCTAAGGCCATGGTAATAATTGGGAGCGCCAGGAGTGGCAAGTATGACAGATATGAGCGCTATACAAGAACCAAATATTATTATTAATATTATCAAAATTAAATTTTATACGTAGCAATGAGCATAATAGGACTGCATTTTGTCCTATTTCAAATTGAACAAAATCAGGTGTTCTAAATGGGCCATCAGACATTTCTCTTATGCTGCCACTTTTCAGTGTACATGTAAGTGATTTTCAGCAAGATTTTCAATACCTGATTACTCAGACAATTTAAAAAAAAATTACATGCAGATCACAATTTCCTGATGCTCCTGGACTCTAAACAAAATGATCCTAAAAAAGAAAATGGTATGCACTACACAGGGAAATATCCACTATATTAATATATTTCATATCGTTGATGATCATCCAAACTGTCATATTGGTTCATGCTGCCTGAGAAAAAAATGATTTCGAGAAAAACATTCAATGTTTGGGGATTTTCAAATGTTTGTATGAGGGCCTCTTGACCAAATATATAATATACAGATCCCAAATATATCATCTCTGAAATATTATTTACTCATCAAAATACCCAAAGTGATATAATTGGGCAAATTGAGGTTTCTGATACTTTGTTTTCATGAAGTTGACATTATTCTAAAATACATTTTTAATTTAACTAAAATTCTTTCAATTGAAAAACGCTGTACTACATGGTCAAAGTCTAACGAGGTAAATTGACCAGGCTAGGAGGGGATATACCCCTTGACCCCTTGGAAAGATTTTGCATTTTCAAGTGAGACGGACAGACATACATACTCTCTCTGTCACTCCCAATCTCCATTTTTTTTCCCCCTGATTTACACTAGCACACTACACATACATTGTGATGTTTTAGAGATAAAAGAGCCAAATCTAGGAGTCAAACAAAGATTTAAGACCCAAATTCGTCTCTTATGAATTCATTTAAAGGGATCTGGTAACTTTATCTTTAATGGATCCTTTAATAAATCCTTGATTTAGCTCATGCTGCAATGATAATTATAAACCTTTAGGTCAGTCAGGAACCCCATGACTTTTACAAGCCGATCGCCTGTCTGATTATCAAGATATTTATGATTGAAAATCGTAATCAAATTTTGCATTTGCCAAACGGTTTTCATAACACGACAGTCTATTGGGGAAAACAGTATGGTAAATCCGGTCACTCAAAGGTTTTTACTTTTTTGAGGCACTTCATGATCATTTTGAAGGGCAATTTCTTTTAGGGCTTCAATATTACACCATATCACAGACACTAATAACACGTAGGGCCATGCATCTCAGATTTAACATTGTTAAACGATGCCTTTAAGACTCAAATTTGTCTCTTATGAATTCATTCAAGACATTTCTTTCGCAACCTCGGTGGCACAGAACGGGTTAACCAATACTAGCCTGTATATAAAGCTGCGTCAGGTTGGATTCTCCCGTCTTCTTATCGATGGCAAACTCCTCGTAGTACCTCCCTGCCATCTCGGCATCCTGATAGACTGGTATATTGGGGGTGTTCTTATCGTTGTAGGGTCCAAAATGGCAGTTGGGTGCTCCGAACCACTCGTCAAATCCATGTTTTAGGGGGTGGAACTGGGGCTGGTGTCCAAGATGCCTGGAAAGGTCATAGGTCATAGGTCAAGTTACTCACATGTATGATTTGAATAAACAATGTTTACCTTTTTTCTCTAGTCTCTGATAAATACATGTAAAACCGGCAAGCTTCCCTGAGACTTCCCTGAAAATGGTGATCCAGGAATCCATTTCTAAAAAAATAAATATCTATAAATAAATGTTCATGTTCTCAAAAAAAGTTATTTTATCTTATCTATTCATTGTTCCCCAGAAGTATAATTGAACATCCATTGTAAATATCTATGATGAGAGATATTTTTAGTACAAAAACAAATGCAAAGCGAGTCTCAACGAAAATAATAGAATTTCTACTTTTTGTTAACTTTTCCATAAGTTCATTTATGAAAACAATTCATCAAGCCTTTCTTTAAGTCTAAGGTCATATTCTATTTTTTTCAATTATCATCATTTCTTTGAAGATGATTGTTAGATACTGCTCAAAATATAGCATGACACATACCACTTTCCAACAAGTTTGTTTCTGTAACCAGCTTTCTGAAGAAGCTCCGGAAGTAGGATTTCATTATCCTGTATGCCCCCTACAATGATCTGAGGTGTGTACGCGTTCCGAGCATGTTCATTGGTTGTGTAGAACCCATTGCGGATGGGAAGTCTGCCAGTCAGTAAGGCTGCTCTCGCTGGAAGTAGATACACAAATAAAATCATATGATCATTCTTAGTACGAAAAAAATGAAAAGCTGCTCACAGGTATGAAACTAATCCTCCCAGATTCTCAACTCAATCTAAATCTTCACACATTATTTACAGTTACAAATAAAATTCAGATTAAATTGAAAGATATCAAAATAATATAATGTGATTGCTCAGTATGGTGGTTACAAATAAAATACATACAGATTAAATGAAATGAAATTCAAATGGTATGACATGTTTTTTCAGTATGTCAGAACAATCCACAGATGTTTACAGGTATGAAAATAAACTTTACAGATTCTAAAATAGTAAAATGAATCTCAGCTACATCTTTACACATTATCAAAGTGACATCTATTAATGGTGGGATGTGTATGCATTTGACAACCTTTAATTACCGGTAATGTAATTCTGTCATTGAAAATATACTACACAAGAAAAAGATAGATAATTTACAAAATACATGTTTATGGTAGCCCAAATATTATTTATTTCATTAAGCCCCCCCCCCCCCCCCCCCCCCCCCCCCCTGATTACTTGGTTTACTTCTGATCCATTTCAAGGATGGTCCGAAATAATTTAAGACACTTACAAGGAGAACACAGAGGGTTTCCTGAGTAGAAGTCTGGGAGAAGGATGCCTTCCGCTGCCATCTGATCCAAGTTTGGAGTCTCTTTAGCTGGGTTTCCATAGATACCAAGATCTCCCCATCCCATCTGGTTCATGTGCAAAATATTTCACAAATAAAAAATCTTATATGCGGAAACTTTTAGCAATACGAACAGAAGTGAATAGTGTGAATTGTGATGTCGTGCCTGCTTGCCTAAACAGTTGGACAAATAGATTCCCCCCCCTCAAACTTTCACTGATCTCTTCTTTCATTTTCTTGATTTAAAAAAAAAATCAACAAAAATCAACAAGAAAAATTAGAATTGTTGCTATGGTGAACTCCCTTGTATTAAAATTCATCTGCAATTTCATAACCCGTTTAACCATGAAGGACACTGGAATGACAGACATGACAGATGTAATTCGTAATGTTCAGCATCCGACACCAAATTAATTCCATGGATATTAATTATTTTTAAGTTCTAAGTTTTTAACAGTAACAGTTTACAAAAATATATTGTAAGTACTATATATTACAGGCTTACAGCCTTCCTTGTGTAGTAAAAAAGTGCATCCCTCTAAGTCTTACTAAGTTACCATGGCCTGGCCTGGGCATGGCATCTGTGCTCATTATTATAATTCAGATTACTGATTAATCTTATTTCTTTTAGAGACAAAAATGAGAAATGACACAATTTGTTCTCAAAACTTGGCTCTCAAACTCTAAAAAGTGCAAGGTTTAACTTGATTTGATATTTTCAATAAATAGCTTAACTGTTGTCGAAACAATTTGATGATGTTGTGTTGTTTTTAGATTTTTCTTTGTTCTTTTTGTTTCTTTGATAGGTCTAGACTCTAGACCTAATTGATAATAATTAATGACAATTAAAAAAAAAAAAAAAAAACTAATCCGCTACCCAATTACTTACATCATCCATGAGCATGACAATAATATTGGGAGGAGCTGCAACGACAACTTCCTTTGCTAAAACAAATAAAAGGAAGAAAAATAAACTCAGATGCCATTTTCCCTCCATGATCATGCACGACTCCTCAGTTCAGCTTCTGCAGTGCCTCGATGAGTTTGGTGTTGATCAGTTACTTATGGTGGCCCTGAAGGGACATCGCGAATAGACTAAATCGTGAAAAATATGCGATAAAATTCACGATATCGTCAATTTTATCGCATATTTTTCACGAAGAAATTCACGAAATTGACGATATCGTGAACTTTATCGTGAACTTTTCACGATGAAATTGACGATATCGTGAATTTTATCGTGAAAAGTTCACGATATAAAGTTCACGATATCGTCAATTTTATCGTGTACTCTATCGTGTACTCTATCGTGTACTCTCCTGACGGGCGCTTCGTAAACAAAACCAGCCCTAGCTGGGGGAGACAGAGAGAAGGAAAAAAGGGAAAGGGAAAGAGAAGATAAAAGGAAAGAAAGAATAATAAGAAGAAAAGAGGGAAACGGGGGGGGCGAAGGGCTCTTGCCTCCTCCTCACTCCCCCCCCCCCCCGCCAAAAAATAAATAAGGAGAGAGAGAAGGGAAAGGGAAAGGGAAAGAAAATATAAAAGGAAAGAAAGAAGAGGAAGAAGGAAAGAGGGAAACGGGGGAAGGGCGAAAGGCTCTTACCTCCCCCCCCCCCCCCCCCGCCAAAAAAATAAATAAGAGAGAGAGAGAGAGAGAAGGGAAAGGGAAAGAGAATAAAAAAGGAAAGGAAGAAGAATAAGAAGAAAAGAGGGGCTCTTACCTCCTCCCCCCTCCCGCGCCAAAAAATAAATAAGGAGAGAGAGAAGGGAAAGGGAAAGGGAAAGAAAATATAAAAGGAAAGAAAGAAGAGGAAGAAGGAAAGAGGGAAACGGGGGAAGGGCGAAAGGCTCTTACCTCCCCCCCCCCCCCGCCAAAAAAATAAATAAGAGAGAGAGAGAGAGAGAAGGGAAAGGGAAAGAGAATAAAAAAGGAAAGGAAGAAGAATAAGAAGAAAAGAGGGGCTCTTGCCTCCTCCCCCCTCCCGCGCCAACAAATAAATAGGAGAGAGAGAGAGAGATAGAGAGAAGGGAAAGGGAAAGGGAAAGAAAATATAAAAGGAAAGAAAGAAGAAGTAGACGGAAAGAGGGAAAGGGGGGAAGGGCGAAAGGCTCTTACCTCCCCCTCCCCCTCCCGCCATAAAGGGAAAGAGAAGGGAGAGGGAAAGAAAATATAAAAGGAAAGAAAGAAGAGGAAAAAGAATAAGAAAAGAGGGAAACAGGGGCGAAGGGCTCTTGCCTCCTTTCTTTTCTTTCTTTTCCTTTCTTTCCTATTCTCCCTCTTTTTCGTTTTTCTCTTTCTTTCTTCTCTTTCCCTTTCCTTCTCTCTCTCTCTCTTATTTATTTTTTGGCGGGGGCGGGGGGACGAGGCAAAAGCCCTTTGCCCCCGTTTCCCTCTTTTCTTCTTATTATTCTTTCTTTCCTTTTATCTTCTCTTTCCCTTTCCCTTTTTTCCTTCTCTCTGTCTCCCCCAGCTAGGGCTGGTTTTTGTTTACGAAGCGCCCGTCAGGAGAGTACACGATAGAGTACACGATAGAGTACACGATAAAATTGACGATATCGTGAACTTTATATCGTGAACTTTTCACGATAAAATTCACGATATCGTCAATTTCATCGTGAAAAGTTCACGATAAAGTTCACGATATCGTCAATTTCGTGAATTTCTTCGTGAAAAATATGCGATAAAATTGACGATATCGTGAATTTTATCGCATATTTTTCACGATTTAGTCTATTCGCGATGTCCCTTCAGGGCCACCATAGTTACTGGTGCATTTAATGTCATGTGATACGATACAGTCAGGTGATCTCGGCGTTTTTAGCTAGTCTAAATTGCAGGCACAGTAAACCATTATAAAAATGCGCAAATTAAATAAACCAGAAGTAAAATTGTGCAAAATGAATACTGAAACAATTAAATGCAGCGGCATCATAAAGGGTGAATGATTAGGGAGGGGGATTTTTTTTTTAATCTCTAGTGCAGCTGCAACCCTGAGCACCCTCCGAAAGTTGCATTCTGAAAATGATTCGGAATCATTTTCATAAAGCAACTATCCATGCAACCGTCGAGGACGTAGGCCTATACTCTATATTCTTTCTTGTCAAATATCATACCCCTGAAATTTGAAATCGATAACAATTTCATTTTATTTCTTCCCCTTCACTTTATGTCCTACCCGCCCCTCCAACTACATTTTATTCTCTTTTTTAGAGGGGGGGGGGGGCGCCACTGCCCAAAAAATAATAAAACAAAACAAAAAGTATAACAACTTTGATTATCATGATAATAATTAGAATAAATATATTAATACAAAATAAAAATAACGATAATAATAACAACAATAACTTAAATTTTATCATTATCTCCTTGACAAGCTGACAAAAACATATTTCTCACATTCCAGTCAGGTGTGATACAGCCTTGTATAGCAACTAGCCACTGATAACGTAATGTAGCACTGTCAACCAATAGCGTTGCTCGATTTCGGCTTCAAATTTAAAAGGATACCAGCCGCATTGTTGATAATGAGCTGCGTGATATCGAGTTCTCTGTAAAAATTTCAGTTTAGACATCGCCATTTGCAACATTTTACACCTGTATTCTTGGGAAGGCCTTTATTCTGTCAGCAAGTATTATATTTCGTCATTTTTCTCAAGGTAAATGATTGAAAGTGGTCAGACAGACTTGTTTTAGCGCTTAGATCAGTGTGAATGTTCGTGATATTGTGAATTTGAGTGAGCTAGATCTAGTGCAGTGCGAGTGCAGTGGTGTGGTCAGCGAGCAGCGCCGGGTTGTCGCGATGTCGTGGCTTGACTTGTTTGTGTTGCGAGTGTGTCTGTGTGAGTAACTCAACTGCCATGGTTTTGAAACAAGTTTTTTAATGGATTGCAAGGCCAAGGAAAGGCCGACTTTCATTTATTCAGTGTGAACATTGGGGGGGGGGGGATTAAGCCTAGATCTATCATCTAGATCTAGATCTATATAAAGAGAGAGAGAGGTTGATTATTAATATTATAGGCCTAGTCTAGGTTGATGTTTCTTGAACTTGAATTTGAAAAATTAAAGTGAATTCAACTGACAACTGGAGTTGAAAATCTTTTGAATAAATTTTACTTTTTAACTTTTGGGACCTAAAATGATGGAAGTTATTTTGTGTTTAGGCGGTGATATTAAATTGGTTTGCAGTAGACCCTAGACCTAGATCTAAGCCTGAGTCAAATTGTCAAGACGTTTAACAGACGGTTAAACGACCGGTCAACCGCATTCATCAAAACGCTTTAGACTCTAGCATTTCTCGCTCCGTTTAACCGTTATTTTTGTGCGTTTGTTACATGTGTTTTGTTTTTGTTTTTGAGACTTCATTGCCGATACGGAACTCCTAAATTAATAATTATTGACAAGAATTCATTGCCAAGACTTTGTTGCCCCTACGGAGATCTAAAAACAATAATTATCGGCAAGACTTTATTGCCCTGACGGAGCTCTAAAAACAATAATTATCGGCAAGACTTTGTTGCCTCTACAGAGATCTAAAAACAATTATTATCGGCAAGACTTCTTTGCCCCTAAGGAGACCTAAAAACAAATAATTATCGGCAAGACTTTGTTGCCCCGACAGAGATCTAAAAACAGTTATTACCGGCAAGACTTCTTTGCCCGTACGGAGATCAAAAAACATTATGTCTTCATTGAAATGACTGAATGCTTGAGAACTTACACACATGTAAAAATATGTGCATTTTCAAAACGGTTAAACCGAAACCGCCCGTATACGTTTAACGGTTAAACGTTAAGCACAAAAACCGTAATGACTCAGGCCTAGTTTGCAGTAGACCTCTAGGCCTACTGCGGTACTAGCTGCTGATCTCCGATAGAGCGGAGGAAGAAGAATAAGATTAAGAAGAAGAAAGAGGTCATCCCAAAAGGCAAAAGGGTCATCCGGAACTCTAAAGTAAAGATATCTCGATCAAAACAGTGAATTAAACATTGTTTCCATGGTAACTTTCAGATTTCCCACTTTTGAGAAATGACCCCCTGACGGATAATAGTTCCAGTCATCTGGTCATAAAGTTATAGATCTAAGTCCATAGATCTATGAGTACGAGATTATTGTTTTGCTAGCTCCAAGGGATCACATACGATTACATTTACAGTTTGAAAATACCCTTCCTCCGGCTCCCATGCTTTGCATATATCACCCAATGCAGCTGCATGCTGTTGAGCAAAAATTATAACTCTGCGTGTAGACCACTTTTTGGTCCATTCTAGACAAAAATTGGATGAATATTGCCTAGATTTTGGGGGGCTATATATTTTGATAGAAATGTCAGTGTGAGTGAGTCTTCAAATTTGAAATGTGTTTTTTTGAGTACCGGTATGGCGGTAGTTGATTTTTTTTTTCAATTATCCAACCATAATGGTGAAAAACAATCCAAAATGGAAAATTGATAAATCGTTCAGACACCCTACATGTAGTACCGGTACTAGTAGAAGTGAGTTTGAACTTTGAAAAGAACAGTTCTACTCTAGTTTCACCATTGCCTTGGCAAGATTTATAATTTGTAATCTGATAATACTAAAAGCCAAATAAATAAATCTTAAAAACTGAGGTAACTTTTTACTTCTGTTGCCCAAATGAATCTGTCATAAAAGTAAAACAACATTAACTTGAACAATATACAGTGTGGGGAGAAAAAAAAAATTAAGACTATAAAGAGATTGATGATGACAATGATGACAATCGACACAAAAAGGCATTAGTAGTTTCCAACAATTTATTTAAAAAAAGAGTTTCTAAGTTCTAACAATTAAACAATGAAACAAACTTAGTGAAAATTTTGTCAAAAAAGACTATTAAAGGTCTTCTTGATCACTTTTGAATTCATACTCTACTCCTTGCTTTAGACTTTAGAATTGAATTGTTTAATATTTAATATTTAATTTTTAAATTGACATGGCTCCAGTGTTCTTCTGTGAATTCTGTTGACATATTACTAATGGCAATGCTGACAAAAAGTCATTTGATGACAACACTACATGTAGTTGCCAAATCAAGGGAAGGAAAGGACGGATGCAGGCATGCAGCAGTGGTTTTCAAAGATAAATCTGACTTACTGTATAAGGTTTCCCATTTAGACATGACCTACATGCACATGTAGATCTATTGTAGGCCTTTTAAAGATTATGTTTTTTTGCTTCTAATATATACCTCCCTACTCCATAGTACTTTTTGGTATGGTAGGTACATTTCAGAAGTCTAAATTTCCTAAAATAATGGGAGGATGTGATCATCAGAATTAAAATTATTAAAGGATGACAAACAAAATGTTAAATGTCTGATCCATTGGACATATTGAAGGCAGTACTGGGGGGGGGGGGGGCAGACTTACATGTGACATCCGACATGCCTATAAAAAGGATGTTAAAGGTACTATGTCCCTTTTGCAGCCAACCTCAAATGCTGTAGAACTTTGCAGGAATTATGAAAACATGTCATGTATGTCCTATCTGTGAAATTTAAATGTTAGCAGTGTCCTCATATTCAAATTATGCAAGGAAAACCGTTTACTTGCTAGACTTCACTGTCAGACACTATTGAGTGACTGACTGGCTTTTTTTCTTCTTTGGTAATAACATACATGAAAAGAGTTGTAAAGGGTACATGAGCATTTGTCTACATCAATAACCCACTTCTTGTGATGGCCAAGATTAAACTGATTGAATCTTTGTGCAGCAATAAACGTATGACCATTTGGTACAATTGTCTGAAAATCAAGACTATTACTTTTGGGCTCTATAGCCCTAAAGTCGATTTGACAACTAATAGTCGTTATTTTCTCACTTGAAGACATTTTCAAGCCCCACCTTTTTAGGGAAGTTCTAAATTAGTACTATCTTTCAAATGCAGTTGGAATTTAACTTTTTCATTTTTTGGGCCTGCAAATGGGACATAGTCCCTTTAAATGAAGAACTCAGTGAGAAATACTGGTAAGTTAAAAGAAATAGTGGAAGAGGAAGAAATACTTCTCAAAAGACTCAATGTCTCATCATTTTTATGATTACCGGTAGATACATGTAAATCTAACGATCTTTGAGACGATCATCCCATTCAGCAGCTCCTACAATGTAGTCATCTCTTGATTTTATGCATAGAGTCAGAGTAGATCACATTTTGCCCATTCAGCATGTAGATTGAGGATCCAGTGATGTCCAATACTGCTACAGTATTACACATGTACATGTACATGTGTGACAAGTGGTTGGTAATGGTACCACAACATTTACACAATTTGACACTATCACACTAGTCTATAACCAAGAACTTTGTTCTCTTCTTTACACAGATGACTTCAGAATATGGCAAGGAGAATTCTACTCAAGCACATATGTCGTCAAAGGTTTGTTTACAAAATATTTTTCTCAAACTTATTTACATGTTGTTTATCTACTTATTTATTCATTCATTTTTATTTTTTGAGTGTGCATAAACCATTAAAAAGGGAAACAAATAACATATATGATTACCCATTGTGTCATCATAGCCCAAAATATATGAATTCAATTTAAGATAAAGTAATATTATAATAGATAGATACTTTAGATAGTAATTTTGAGCATGTGTGAATTTGAAAACCAATTGCTAGTAAGTTGAGGGTTTGTAGATCTTCGGTTTAACTTTTTTATGAATTTTATCTCAATCAAAGTATTACACTACATGTACTCAAACCAGGGGAAAATTTAATATTTATTTTTTGGGGGGGGGGGGGGGCTACTGTATGAAAATAAGACTCTAAAAAAAAATTGCATTGAACTCTATCTCTTTTCTGATTTTGGGGGCTCTTTTTGGCATTTCAGGGGCAAATTCACCCCGAGCCCCCATGTATTTTTTCAATGACTCAAACCAATCTTTTCTTTGTTTATTCTCTCTTTTAGGCACACATGACACCAGTTAGTGTACCGAGGGCCAATGCAGGACCAAAGAGGATCCTCAAACCCAACACGACCAGTTCAAACGTAAGAACCACACCCACTAAGGCCACTCGGTCATCGGTCGGCCATCCGCCGGTCTATCAGTCCCAGTCTCAGACTGTGACTGCTCAGGCCGCCGCAGCCGTTAAAAGACCCATAGATGTGAGTCAAGGGGGCCGATCAGAGAACAACTGTCCCCTCCCCCCCCCCCCCATCTGTATCTCTCTCTCCTATCCCCCTCCTGTCACCCACTTCCACATTTCAACTTTAATTTATAAAGGGAAAAAATGAATGTCTGAAAAGTCTCTGTGACTGCTCAGGCGGCAGCCGTTAAAAGACCCATAGATGTGAGTCAAGGGGGTCGATCAGAGAACAACTACCCCCCCCCCTCCCCATCTGTGTCTCTCTCTTATCCCCCTCCTATCACTCACTTCCACCTTTCAACTTCAATTTATAAAGGCAAATAATGAATTTCTGAAAAGTCGAAATATGTTACATTTTCCCAGTGAAAGTGTAAAAGAAATTTTAAGGGAAAATCCAACCTTAATTTAGACAACTACATCATCTACATGTACTCTGAAAGAAAGCAGAAAATTCAGAGAAGCAGACTTGTGAAAATTTGAATTAAATCAGACAAAAATTAAGAAAATTAAGTTATGCATTTTTGACAATTCTGAGTGCTATATATACCTACGGGCACTACTTTTCCATTGGTTTAATATGATTGTATTATCATGGTTTGCTTCAATGTGAGTGTAACCTATTGTGTTTTATGTTACTGTATCCTTTATTTTCTTCATACCCGTTATGAATGTTATGAACCTATAGATGCATTTTGTCAGAAGGTTGGTACACTTTAATGTCATTTACTTGATCCTGGACTGGCTGGACAACAGTTACTGGATGAAGATTTTGGTTTCCTGTAACACCTAGTGATGGACATTGTGTGTACAATTGGTCTCAAAACACAGACTTCTCAAACGGCCAATTCCTCCTTCAGAAATCTCCCCCATCATGCTTCCTAACTCACAATTAGTCTTTATTTTTCACGAGGGTATTTTATTACCTTGAATTTTTAATTTATCCAGGTACATTCTAATCTACTGTAAAACTATCCACAATCCACGTGGTAAAGATTATTGATAACAAATTTATATCTTTCTGCTTTCATCATGCATGTGCATTTGTCTTTGCAGGTTGCTTCTTCACTGAATAGAGGTACTACAGCCCAGGCCAGGACACAACCTGTCAAATCAGCGGAGAATGGCCACGGGCACGATGACAAACAAATGGAACCAAAGTGAGAAAACTTTGTATTCGAAATGTAGAATTGACACTTTCTCTGGTGCATGCAATTTAGTGTTTCCTTGCATACTGTATGTTAGTCAGAAAGTGCTCATCTCCATTGTATACAGTTTAGAAGAAACACTGGTCCTGGCGAGAAACATATTTAGCTGTATATATGCAAAGCTTGTCAAACATCCATCAGTAATATAATGAAAGCTTATTAAATCACTTAGTGGAGATTGAAACCTAACTCACATGCACCCTTTGTGGAAGAACTGCTTGTTTGTTACATGTGATGGAAGAAATAAGATTGAGTGATTTGGCATTTGGCCATTGTCTATATCTGCACGATAAGCTATTCAATCTGTACCCTTGTAAGCAAAAACCATACCGTAACATGCAAAATACAGGTAGAATAGAACTCTTACATTTTTAAACAGTGTGCCTTGTGTAGGGCTTTACACTAGCATGTCCCCCTCCCCTCCATCAATATGCCATCTCTAAACCCCCAAGTTTTCATAATTCTAAGGGGGGGGGGGTGGCATGCAGGCCAACTGACCAACCCTAAAAATTCATTCCGGATCCGTTATGAAAGTATGGAGTCCTGCCGTGATATTAAAGCTTATCAACTCTAGTGTGGCTAGAGGGATTAGACCACACAGCGAGGTCACTGACAGGTGGCTATCTTGTCAATTCAGCTCTCAAATAACATAAGAAATAGAGGATCATGGGGGACTAACAGGCACCGATTGGGAAAGTTTTCTATATAGAGGGAGCAAGTAGGACATTGGGGCTTTAATCTCCTCCTGCTTTGTTACCGTTACCATACCCTTAATTTTACTATCTGTACTCGCTTTCGCAGGAAATCATGGACATTGAAAGACTTTGACATCGGGCGGCCGTTGGGCAAGGGCAAGTTCGGGAGCGTGTACCTGGCCCGCGAGAAGCAGACCAAGTACATCGTGGCCCTCAAGGTGCTCTTCAAGTCGCAGCTTCAGAAGGCTCAAGTAGAACATCAGTTGAGGAGAGAGATTGAGATTCAATCTCATCTTAGGTAGGTTGTAGTTTGTTTGCGTCATTGCCGTTTCCAAGTTATTGCTGCCTGATTTTCAGGCTTCATATTTTGTCACGTAGCTAGGGCCCCATCATGAACGCATGCTAAATCAGCTGGCATCCTTATATCACAGTGCCTATACTGGGTGCACACATGTCCTCTCACTAGGCCACCCATTATAGATGAGCAAAAGGCGTAAATGTGGTAACTTAAGGAAAGCAGAACATTTTCCTGATTCATCAATATTCATATGAATATGCAAAGTGAAATTTATAGTCCAGCAAGTGGGTTTTGTTTTTTGTTGGGCCTACAGTGCCCAATAGGGCAAGTTAGGGGGTGGAATCGTTTTTTATAGTGCCCTGACAATTTTGGAGAAATGTGCTGTTACAGTTTGTTGTGAAATATTAATATTTATATCCTTAGAAAACTGGAAATCAGTCATAACTACCTAAACTGCATTTATAACATTTTTGTTCACATCTCTGATATTCTTTTTTTCAACATGGAGGCCGGATGTTAGACAGTTTTCAGCATTAACATCAATCATTGTCATTCTTTCCCTAGGCATCCCAATATTCTCAGGCTCTTCGGCTATTTCTACGATGAGAGCAGAGTATACTTAATTTTGGAATATGCTCCAAGGGGAGAGCTCTACAAACAGCTTCAGAGAGCAGGAAGATTCGATGAGCAAAGAACTGCTTCAGTAAGTATACTTACTTACATTCTACCTCCTGGGCCCTGTCTCATAAAGAGTTGCGATTGATCCACATCAATCACAAGTCCTCCAATCAATCGCAAGTTTGCAGTCTCCTATTTCTTATGTGCATAGTTGCGATCGATATCAATCACAAATAAGTTCCAATTAATATCAACTCTTTGTAAAAATGGTGCCAGGTAGGGGCCCCACTTGTGTCCCTTTTTGTTGTTTGTTTTTCCACAGACATACATAAAGGGAAATGCAACCCTTGTATTAAATAAGTTAATTTGTATGAAAGTTATTAAAAAATATGTAAGGGGAATAGCAAAAGTTTGAAATAAATTGGACCTACGATTAGTTATAAAGTTTATTGAATGTTTGAAATATGGGATCACTACCGCTTTGTTAATCCCAAATTGGCAATTTTTTCAGTGGATTGAGACCTAGTGACAGTTCTTTATATTCTTTGGGTGTTGTATTTTTTACCCTGATAAAAAAAAAGATATTTGATATATGATAGTGAGGTAATTTTCATGGACATGAGTCATCTATGCAGCAAAATAGCATGTTTCATAATATCAGATAGCATTCATTATCAATGTTTAAGGTTTCACCATGTGGGTAGTCCTGAAAAGAACTGTTTTGTTTGAAAGTAGGTAGAAATGAAAAGAGTGTGAGACATGTGAGGTATGTGTTGCTCATAAATAAGTTTGAGATTGATTTTAGTCTTGTAAGACTGCCACCTTGGATTTTTAAAAAAGAAATCTTATTTCCATTTTCAACAAACTTATTGTTTTTTCTTCCATTCTCTCTTTCTCTCTACCATACAGTACATCAGCCAGCTAGCCGACGCCCTAAAATACTGTCACTCCAAGAAGGTTATCCATCGTGATATCAAACCAGAGAATCTTCTACTTGGTCTCCTAGGTGATCTTAAGATTGCAGACTTTGGTTGGTCTGTCCATGCCCCTTCCTCAAGGTAAGGCTGATCATGTGAAAGTCGTTCAGTATGAAAATCTTAAAGGAATATTATTTGAAATATTTGATAGTTTGGGGCCGTATTCTTCAAGGAATAATGATGTTTAATGTCATAAACTGAACATAAAACTTGTGCAGATGTCTTCTTTAACTTTACACCAAGGCTGATAATTTACTGATTTTTTTTTCTTCCAAAAATGGGTACTCTCTGAGATCAGGGGGTGAGAAGCTGTTTTTTTCATGACTCTGCACCTCGCTTCCCTTTGATTTCTTAATTTGTTTTATTTTTTAACTCTCACTATCACCCCTGCTTTACACAGACATTTAGCTTCAAGCGCAGATTTCAATTAATGACTTGTCCTAATTTAACATTTTTATGACAATTATCATCGTCTTACTAACATTAAAGATAACATCATTTTCAGAATACCACCCCTGTCCAAGATGTCCCTCCTATTACAGCAAAAACAAATCACAGAGTTGCCAATTTGTATTGTGATCCATAAAATTAAGAAGGTCAAAAAGCATCATTTGATGACTGCCCGCAAGCAGGCCATTTCTGGCATTGATAATTTGTAGCTCTGCCTCATGTGACCTTCTTGTGAGCAGCTGACAAATTTTTGTCTTCTTCATAAAGAATTCTCTCAAACTTTTACTGTCTTGTTTCTAACTTGGCAATTCCAAGTTATTTTGTCCCTGTTTACCACATCTTACATTCTGGGATATCTGACCATTGTATTAAGTTAATAGCCCTGCTAGGGTCAGACCAAGAATAAAGTGAAATAGCACATTCATTTTGAATTTACATTTGAAACCTCCACATTACTCATTAGACACCTAATGACTGAAGACATTGGACTTACCCTTCTCTGGTTATACTATCCTAATTTTATTGGAAACAACTTGAGATCAAGTTGAGCTTCCCCTTTAAAGTTGCTAATGCGTGGGTATATAGAGGGCAGCACACGGACGTACGCATGGGAGCGTAGTACCCGCTGGCTCAGTGTTAATTAGTGATCGCCAAGTTGCCTACTTCACGAACGACTATATACCCACACATGAACATTTGTAACTGAATCGCCAGCATGTCTGTTGAACATCAGACAGGCTTTATCAGACTGTCTTCTGTGATGATCTTAACAAGTCATGTTGTTGTGTCTTCTACCTAGACGAAACACCCTATGCGGCACCATGGACTACCTGCCACCCGAGATGATTGAGGGACGCATGCACGACGACAAGGTAGACCTGTGGAGTCTGGGCGTACTCTGCTATGAGTTCCTGGTGGGCAAACCTCCATTTGAAGCAGAGGGCAGCACCGAGACCTACCGTAGAATCACAAAGGTAAGCAGTCATAACAAACAGTCACTGAAACAAAATCCTGGATGTAGCTCATGCTGCAATGATAATTATAAACCTTTAGGTCAGTCAGGAACCTTTTACAAGCCGATCGCCTGTCTGATTATCAAGATATTCATGATTGGAAATCGAAATCAAATTTTCTGTTTTCCAAACGATTTTCATAACACTACAGTCTATTGGGGAAAAAGAGTATGGTAGATTTGGTCACTCAAAGATTTTTAATTTTTTGAGGCACTTTTATTTTGAAGCGCAATTTTTTTAGGGCTTCAACATTACACCATATCACAGACACTGATAACACGTCGTATAGAGCCGTGCATTTCAGATTTAACATTGTTAAACGATGCCTTTAATACAAAAAATGTATTTAAAAAAAGAGGCTGCAGGTCCCATCGATGATCTTGTACAGACTTGTGGGACATTACATTGCTTTTGATTCAGGTCATAAATAGGAAAATTGGTGTTTTGTAAAACATAAGGTTACTCTGTACAGTACTCATTACAATTGATGTCATGGAAGTATTACGCACTTTAAGTTTGTACAGTGGTCACTTTTTCTGTCTTCTTGTATCTCCCATTATGAGATGATAACTGTGGTCCTTACTCACTTGCTCTCTCTCTCTTTTTCTTTGTTCATTATAGGTTCACTATCAGTTCCCAAGTTACGTATCAGCTGGTGCCAGAGACGTGATTAAAAGGGTGAGTAACTGAGTATTTTGCTTGGAACGAATACCTATTTCAACTTTTCAAACACAACGTTTAAAGCCCCACTGTACTACTTGTAGCTACTTGCTCCTTCTATATAGAAACAATGCCTAAGCGCTGCCCGCTGGTCCCCCATGATCCTCTTTTTCTTATGTTATTTGAGAGCTGAGTTGATGAGATAGGTCCCCCATGATCCTCTTTTTCTTATGTTATTTGAGAGCTGAGTTGATGAGATAGCCACCTGTCAGTGACTATACTGGGTGGTCTAATCCCTCCTGGCCAAACTAGTACAGACAGGCTTTAAAAAAAAATGCTTATAGCACAAGCTCCCTAAACCATCGTGGCAACAATTTTGTTATCCTCGCTTTAGTAAATGTTCATAGGCTGCAGCATAAATAACTATCAAGAAATAGCACTGCTCAATGGAATATGAAAACAATCGATGGACAAGTTCCAATAATTTGTTCGAGTTATTATCTTTTAAATCACGTCCATATACATGTAAAGCTACCTCACACAAAAACAAAAGTAACTCGTGGAGATTGGGCTTTCAGTTGTGATGCTTCGAAGCTTTGGGATAACCTCCAACTAGACATAAGAAAAGCCGCATCTGTTGCTCTCTTCAAAGTTTTGTTAAAGATGCACTTGTTTTCAGGTGCTTTTGAATAGTTTCTTTTATCGTGTGTCTATAAAGAAATACTGTTAGAAGATTTGTTTTCATCACAGCGCAGTAGAGAATATTTGTTTGGTAGCTACGCTATATAAATCTATCTAATTATTATTATCATCACTTTGCTTTTTCCCTCTTTACAGCTACTCCAACATAATCCCGCCAACAGACTCCCGCTAGAACAGGTCCTGGCCCATCCCTGGATCGTAGAGAACTCTAAGAAGAAGCCCTCATCATCCTCCACTTCATCATCAGAATCGCAATCATGATAGAGCCCCTCCTCAAATAATCGATATATACTTTGTATGAAAACGTATGTTGAGTACAGAAGACCCATGGTTCATAGTCATTAATTCCTGTCCTTTCGAAGCTGGTACTATTTATGTGTTTATTTTCGAATAGGTGGGCAAGACAAGTTATTTTTCCATCGCTCCACAGAAGCAACGTGTGGAAGCATTAGTGGGGATAACACATGTTGTGTACATGTTAATTAACGTTGATGATTACGATGAAGATGACAATGATGTTGACGTCGATGATGTTTTGTACAGCAGAAGTAACTATGATAAGGACGATACCGTCCCGTTGTAATACCAAATATTTTGATACTTGTGATGGGCAAGATCATGGTGGTCTCCAACAAAAAGGAAAATTATGTGTCTGTAACATAGTCTACTGAGATCACTTATTTAAAAGTAAAATTTATATTGATACATTTACTTTCAAACCAGGATCCTGTAAGTTTTTTGTGAGTGATTTAGGTTTGCAACAGGTTCATGTTGCAAAGTTATTGAATCACAACCCTGATTTTGTTTGTCTTTTTCTATTTGTTTCCAAATCATTAACATTTTTTGTTTTAAAGTAAGCTTTATCATTCGAGCTCTTGAGGTAACAATAAACTAGCTTATAGTGAGGGGGTACAGGATTATATTCCCCCCTATTTTTGTAGAATAATGTCAACTAATTCACTCACAGTTCACTTTTCTGTGTGAATAGAGTTAGAATCACCACACACACAAAAGTGGTAAATGAGCTACATACTTAAATGTTAAATAATCTTTAGATTTCGCAACATCGTATATTAATTTCTGAGCCAATCAAAACTTGAATGTAACCATAAATTATTATTTCTGAGTTCATGTAGTGTATTTCTTCACAGATTTTCAACAAAGTAGAAATGACTATTATGACTCGTAGGGCAATACATCTATATTGCCGACTGTGTAAACAATAGTAGCTTCAGTCAGAGCTACATACATGCGCATTACCTTTATCCATTTCTTAATTTTAACTTTGAATTATTGCAATGGGCATAATGCCATAATCTACACGGAAATTATACAAATACAATTTTATACGTAAGAAAAAAAATCAATACCATCACCAATGATAGCAATGTTACTTTTTGATCATCATGTATTTATTGTTGAAATCAGAAACTGATTTCCATGTATTTTTTTTCCCTTTCAAATATGGCTATATTGTTTACATACATGTATATTGTATTCATTATGCAGTATGCAGAGATTTGGCTTGTTGGTTATACTGGGGGGTGTTTCACAAAGATCCTAAGTTGAACTTATCTCTACTTAACTTAACCCCAAGTTGGACCAGTTCTGGTAATGCGATTGCATTGTGAAAGAAACGGTTTGGAATCGATCAGAAAAGGTTCAGGTTGATCATCTAGCATAGATGTACTGCAAGGTTCTGGAATCATCAAAATTATAAGAAATTTGGCCCAGTCTTCATGAAGTTACACGCACTGTACACAGAAAGATGTATATGGAACTACGCACACGTGTGCGACACATGCGTTTTTATCTCTCACATCCCAATAGATAAACTTATTTACCAAATATATTAATTAGTAGGCGGTTTCCCAGCAAAATTGTTATCATCATGTATTGTTCAAAACATATTCTTTCACATGATTGGTATAAGAGCTTCCATTTCTTTTTTTGAAATTGGGGCGTTTCCAATACTGGTCTTTACCTTTAACAATTATGGAAAGCCTTTAGCATCTTTGAAAATATTTTGTAAAAGTTATTTTAAAAGGCATAAAATGTTGATTCAAATCATTCATATTTTCTATTATCAAGGAGATTTCATGTTCTTGATGTGAAATTAATGATAAGTCTAAAATACTTATATATTTGCTTTTGAATATAGCTTATTTAAGGCAAATGGCAGTCCATAATGTTTAAGTCCAACTTGGAGTTAAGTTCAACTTAGGATCTTTGTGAAATACCCCCAGGTCCTTTCTTTTATGACACATGGTTCTTGTGTTTTAGGCATTGTCATTTAGAATTATGAAATGTTCCCGGGCCCTGTTTCATAAAACTTTGTTATCAATAACAAGTGCCACCGATCGATAACAAATCTCTTTCACAGCACATGTATTGTGAATGATTTGATCTAATGCAATGTATGTAATTATAGTCTACATGTACATAACTCTATTTTAGATTCCTTGTACAATGGAATAAATACATGCAAGTCGAAGGCAGCATTTAGATAAAGGTTTAGCCGTCACCCATATTACCCAGTCCTTGCAGAATGGAGAGTTACTGATATCAGCCAAGATGACTTGCAAAGTTGCTATGATCAATTTATCCATTGTGCAAGTGTCTCTTACAAACTCCTCATTAGAAAAATTATATTGGTGAAATTTAAAGCAAATTCGAATGTAGAAGTTGACTGTTAGATTTCAAACGTTTTGAATATTCTGCTCTAACTTTCACCAATTTGCATTTCTCTTTTTCCTCTTTCTTGCAAGGAAGCCTGCTGTAAATGTTTTGATTCCCTTTCAACTGAAAATATATGTTGGTTTGTGTTTTCGGTTATATTTTTTACATCATTTTGTAGTCTAGTTGAATTAGAAAAATCTGTATTCATGTTAAGTTTTTGTTGTCTTTGGGTAAGTTAGTCTACATTGGGGACGAAAAGGCACTGAAGGTATGTTGGAAGAAAATAACAGCTGTTTGTCATATTCTGTGTGTACATTGGTGTGTAAATTTGTAAATAACGATGTCCCATAATGATAAGAGTTTGGACATGCACATATGTAATATTAAGAGATAAAAATAAAAGCAGATAGAGCATTTTCCCTGCATTGTCGTGTTCCTATGTCATTTTTGTTGCTTTTACATGTACATGTTTAGTCAAATATATCTCAAAAATAATATTTCCAGCTTTTACAAAAAGATACAAAGCTCATAACATTTCAATTTTCATAAATATGATCTATTTGAATTACTTGAAAGAGCAATCCAACCCTTGTAATAATTTGATTTGTATTTAGCAGAAAACAAGAGAAATAGAATGGCAAAAGTTTGAAATGAATCCGACCAATAGTAAGGAAGTTATGAATGTTTGAAATATGAGATCACTATTAAAGTCTATGTGAATCTCAAAAATGTCACTCATTTCTTTTTCTTGCAAGTTCCTTCCCCCTTGAGGCACTACTCATAATTAGCATATTATTATAGGTCGTCTAAAAAGAATACGCCCTCCTGACAATAATTTTTTTTTTAATTTAATTTTGTTAGTTGTTTCATATGTTGGAACATATGGGAAAGTAGTTCAGCACTAAATCACGTTGACATCATGAAGTGCCCATATATAGTGAGTACAACTTTCAAAAATTCATTAATTTTTAATTGAACTTTCATCAGTTTGCTTCTCTGATTTGTCTGCTTTCTTTTAGAGTAGTTGTCTATTAGTATCATGTCTCTACTTCCAGATAATGATTAAATCCAGTGTGTAAATGATGAATATCTTGAGAAAGATTGTAGTATGTTATCCCCCTAAAAATGTTGTCAAAAGCCTATGACTGAAATAGAACAGTTGAAGCTTCTTTGTTCAAATGACACAATGCTCTATAAATAATAAATCATTCCATATAAAATATTGGTGTTTCACATTGTTTATTGTTGACATGATAAACAAATGAAAGAAAATATTTTGATTGAATTGTTTGTTACAAATTTTATAAAATCAGTTCAATGTACAGAAAGCATACTAGTCTCTAATGTATCCTACAATTTACATAATGCACATACAGGGTGTACATGAAAATAATAAATGAATACATGTATAATACAGTCACTACTATTCGATAGGAAAGAAATACATGTACATGTAGTTGAAGGCTAAATTCTCACTTTGGGATACATCTAAAAGTAATTGCATTTCAACTGTACAGCATGTGCCATGACTAAAAGCTTCTTCAAATATAACTTGAAGGTTTAGAATATTTATAAATTATAATTCTGGCTTGAATTGAATTTCTTTTTTTGCAACTGCATTTAACCACAACTTATTTATACAAACAGTCCAAGGACTTGCTCTCATTTTTGTTTTCTCATAACTTTTCAAGGCTATGTAACAACAGAAAACTAAATTACATGTGTCACTGAAGTCTTGAACTGCATAGATGCACCAAGAAGAAACAAAAACTGCCCAATTTTAGGTGGCTAAAACCAGTTTGTTTGTTTGATTGTTTTTGTTTTTTTTTTTTTTTGGGGGGCGACACTACTTACACCATATCAGTAATATTACAGCCGACGATACTCAAATAGACAAAAGAGCGATATCCTTTAACCATGTGGAAAGGGAAAATATCTATTGTTACTTCATTTCATCGAGTATGCATTCTCACAACATTTTTAATTTTAAAAAACATAAAACATTTTCAAAGTAGACTTCAATTAGTACCCCCCCCCCCCCCCCCCCCCCCCCCCAAAAAAAATAAAAATCACTTTTGTTTATCCAAGTGCAGGAGTTTAATAAATTTAGCAACAGTAACACCAGCAAATTAAACATAATATGATAGCCCTCTTACAACACTTGTCAAAGTTTGGGATTCAAAGTTTATATATTTGTATAAATTATAATGTGACGCACAGAAAACATCAAGAAAACATAAGGCCACAATGTGGTGGGGAAGCATAGCTTTTTCCATGTTCAATGTTTTGATGACATATATATAGTTACACAGCACAATGGTAGACTAAATGACATGTACCATACAAGCAATCGCTCTCAGAGAGCAGTACAATACTTATTAATAAATTATTTGATGAGAAGTATAATACTTTCATTTCAGTTCAGATAGAAGACCTATACAAATGATGGTTTTTACTGCAATAATCATAATAATAGTCACATTTGTATATGTTTCTAAGCGATTTATAATGTAATCATTATTACCCCAGTCCATGATACGGTACCTTCATAGTGCACATGCTCCACTCCCTGGGAAGTATTTAAGCCAGGCGCCATTTTACAGGTGCACACATGCCAATCCATCCACAGCAAAGTTTTACATACATTTTCAAATTTGACATTTATCTGACTTATATCCATTCACAAAGAGTCAATTAAATATGGTTATCTTATCATTCAAAATTTCAGTTTGTTCTTCTTTCTTCAAATTAAATAAACATACATGTAATTTATATTCATCATTCACTTTCCCTCACACTGTAGGGTATGATGTTTAAATTATTTAGTACTCCTTTAATTGTTCCAAATCCTACGCTTATCAAATCATAATATCCATAATTCCATATATTCAATGAATCGGTATTCAAGAGGAGAGTGAAGCAAGAGAGAGAGAGGGAGAGAGAGGGGGAGATAGAACAAAAGAGAGAGAGAGGGAAAATGTTGAGAGGAAGACACATGTATGAATCTTTATAATACATAGTGCTTTATATTTAAAAGACACAAGCTACATATACATAAATGAGCTGAATTAAATATACATAATAACTTTATATCCTCCCACATTATAAAGTAAACAAATGAACAAAGGAGATGATTAATATTACAAAAATAAACTGATATTAATGCTAAAACAAACTGAAACAGAAAACAATTGACACATCACACAAAATACTGCCTGTCATAAAGACAAGAACAATAGAAAAGATTTCACAAGTTGGGGAGGCACCCATGTGTAGCCAGCCAGGCTACCTCAGGGGCCGGGAGTGACACCCAAGCTTTCATCCATAAGGGCTGTGATGGGGGAACCCCCTTACAGCTCCAGGAGATGGTGGCTATATATTTATGGCCCCTGTTTATATCAGTAATGTTAATTTATACTCTTGACCCTTTTCATTGTAAATGAATACATGTTGTTGGTTCCAGCAGGTCCCTTTCAATCATTATCTAAAAGTGAATACCGGTAGACTCATTTATGTGACACCTCACTGTACTAAATTATCAGACTCCCCCTCTATGAAATCAATCCAAAAAAAACTAGAAAACACATACTGATAAATTACCTCCTGTGGAAATCTTTTTTTTTAAAGAGCGATGTTGCATTGAGTTTATAAAATCTTAACAACATGAGGCATTGCAACATTTATTAAAACGGCGGAGTTCATCCCGCACTGGTAGTGTGTTTTTTATACCTTACCTTTTTAGACACTCAAGGCTCTAAAGCCAAAAATAAGATCAAGCAGAGACGATTTGTATTTCCTCACTTCTCACAGCCCCTTTATACATCTGTACAGTCATTTTTAGGAGCTTGGAAGACTCATGTTCAGTTCATGTTTTGATTCATTTGGTTGGGAGAGACCGCTTTAAAAGCCCTATCCCCCGGAAATACCTGACGATGAACGGCGTGCATGTTAATGTAATGCCGATGCGCACAGGAGCAAACACTTTGTGGACTGCGTACGACATGACAAACGTACTGGTTCCGGCCGCGAGCTTTGACTGTATGATATCTGCACTAAAGCCGAGAGTGGACAGGAGAGACTTCACGTCTATTCCACTGTAAATGGGGAGGGGAAAAGAAAGAGAGAGAAGACAAAGAATGAAATAATGTTAATAATATTGAGCCTCGCTTTTGAGCTTTTACAAAAAGACTCATTATACAAACATAACAAAAAGAACATACACAAAATCTTGTAGAGTTGTAAAATCTTTTTCAGAACTAAGAAATCAATTATCAAGCCTACTTAAAATATTTCTCATATTTTTAGAAAGAACATCAGTGAGACTAATTGTATACAATAATTGCATCTGATTTGTAAGGTCTTTTAAAGAGGACCAACACTTTTAAATTTGTCTTTACCACTACCGTAATTTAAAAAATATATAAAAATTGTAGAAACAAAGAAAGGAGAGTACAGCTTAACTTAAAATTTTAATCAGATCTCTATTCAGAAGTTTCATTTGGCAGTTCAGTAAAAATGCAATAAAGTTATAATTGAACTGCTTCTCCATTTGATGTACATGAACATGTATTACATGTATGTACAAAAGGAATTGGCTTGACATGTCCTTTTCTCAAAATTCTGCTTTATCTTAAAAGTTGAGGTAAGGTTCTTAAATTGAAGTCAAATATACCTCCAAAAGTTACTGATCCAAACCACAAATATGGAATGCTTGCCCCAAAATAGGGTTAAGAAACATGTGTTCCCACTACACATGTACTCAAAGTACATGTATATTGACCATATGTACACAATTGATTCAAAATCACTTTATGCAACACTAGAATGGTCCAATATACGCAAGTCATGTTTATTTACATGCTGATGGTGTACCCAGTACATGCAGTACATAAGGGGATGACACAGCATTTTTGTTAAAGCACTTTGAATACGGTAGAGAACAATAAAACGAACTCTGTATCTTAGTGTGACCTACATTTGTAGATTGATAAAGTTTATACTTTGTTTACACTTTATATTAGTAACGTTTATCCTACTTTACGTTGATTTAGTGCTTTTGCTTTTTGCCTTCTCATTATTGAAAACGTCATTCTCTCATGACTCATCACTTGTTTTTGTAATATTTTTTATTGATGATAAAATTTGTTCACTTTTCTGATACCCTCGTCATCTTTACCCTTTATATATTGATAGTCACAATGTCTGCAAGGATGCCCTTAGTATTTTGCTCTTAAAAATTAAAATCATGACAATTTCTTATGAAAAGTATATGTAAATAACCATTCAAACATATGATATCACTTTACAAAAAATAATTTTGTTAAAATTCATGAAATATTTAGTGAAACCATGCATGAAATATTTAGTGAAACCATGCATGAAATATTAATAATATATGCACCAATATGCAAAGGCATGAGAAAATCAATTTTGTTGGGGATAACATGGAAAATCATGGTATCAAGATATAAAAGCAATTGATAGATAGTGTGGATATGACATTAACAAACTCATAACCAAGTTGCCAATTTGTGCAGTGATTTGCCTTTTTTTTCTATTGTTTTTTCACACCATTAAAAACTAGCTGACAGATTTAATCATTTTTAGTTTAATTGAATGAATGATTTTTCTGCTTGCAGTGGAAGCCAGTTATTCTTGATTAATGATATTTATATTTTCATGTTTTTTTTTAAATAGGCCGGACCAAGATGTATAATAGTCAGACTGTAAATATCCTGTACAATAGTTTGAATAAACAAAATAATTAAATGAACATGTGTACTTGATCGAAAAGGAAGCAAGGTCAAAGGTCTACAAAAGTCTTTTCACTGAACAGTAAACTTCAGTTCTGGACTTCTGGTAATACAGCTTTAAGGTATTCTGACAATCTTGACTTGCAATTGCAATTGCAATAAAGGGAGGGGTACTAAAAAAGGTGAACAAACATTTAACCCCCCCCCCCCCCCACTAAAAAAAGGAGCAGATCTGGATGCTCTCTTTGGTGTTGCAAACATCTTGATACCTTCCCCTTTAATCATTGCTGTGCTGTTTAACATTTACAAATTTCAATCATATTAAATTTGCAGATCATGAACTTTGGATTTTTTAGTCTTGAATACTAAATTTGAAATGAGTTCAGTTTGTTTTTCAGAGAATTTCAAGTTAATTCACGTCACTACCAGAACCAAGTAAAACTAAATGTAGGCTCTTTAACCAAGAATTCCTTCAACGAGAAATTTAAAGAATCTAGCATTATCTAAAAGTGCCATGTACATATGTAGCTGCTTTCATAGTCTTTTTGCATTTATGTTACACATACATGTTTTTAAGTCGCGCTCGTGCATACCATCAACCAAGATTGTTAGCATACTGATAATACAGTAGATAAGCAGGATGAGTTAATGACACTGCATTTTCCTTTAAAAAAAGATCATGTGTATACATGTACATCTGTAGCGTACACGTAGGTCAATACAATTAAAGTTTTTTAATACCCCTCCCCCCCCCCCCCCTCCTATTCTGAACTTACATTAGCTTTTAAATGTGGAATATGAGGTAGAATATTGTAGCTTGATCATGCATGCACAATATGCATGCAGAAAACTGACTGGTATGTCTTTGTTATTTCTTCATTACATGTATCTTTGGCAAACAAACAAAACATTGACCTGCATGCACAGTTAGACTTTGGAACGATACAAGTTCAAAGATGTGCTTTTCTATGTATTGTAACTTTGATAATATACAAGTTTGATGTTCTAGAATAATGTTTGTACATGCAGTACATGTACTGTATATAAGATTTATAAAATTGGTGGCATTGTAAAATCATGTTCATGGACATTTGTATGTATTGGGTGCTACATGTATATGTTTGTTGAATCCCAAGTTCCCTTGTTACAAGCCCATTTGCATCCAAATGATACAATATTTACTCAACCACTTTGTTGTGTTTATTGTAATTAATATAAACAAAATTAAATATTACAAAGTTTCAATCAAAAATATAAAAGACAAGCACCTTTTGTTTTAAGTTGAAAGCATGGAAAAGGGAACAAACATAAGGCTAAGTAAAAAAAAGAGTAACAAGTTTCTTGTCCAGACTTTTACAAAAAAGGAGGCAGCGCTTTTATACTATTTATTATTTTTCCATTTTTTGCAGCTTTAGTCCACTTGCTAAGCAAGTTTCAAAATTTAGAAACAGCAAAAAATGTACATGTGTTCAGCTTAAATTTGCTACATGTACAAGCTATTTATACAAAATGTATCACAGCCTTTTCTTCTTCTTTTTTTTCTGAACAGTAAATAGTAAACAAAAGGAGGTGGGCGGGGACGAGAAACTTGTAAGTTTTGTTACTTGGCCTAATGTACATTCAAAAGATATATTAGCTATGATGTTTTTTTATGGAAATATTAAAATGAGAAAGAGGAAACTGCAAGTATTTTCTATTTTTTTTTACAAGAATATATATATTAAAGCATGAAAGATGAATTTATTCACCTAGATACCGCTAAATAGAAGCCGCCCAGAGACATGAGTGAAATGCAGACATGGAACACGATAACGGTGGAGCCATAATCACGCACAGCCATCTTGAGTCTTTGTCTCTGACTAACCTGGCCTTTATCTGCCTCAGGTTCAGCTTTGTCCTGCTGTGCATTGTCTGTGGAGTATCGGGTCATGGTCTCCAGGCTCGTGATCAAGGTTGTCTTTCTTGAATCATGAGCTGTTGGGGACCACAATGGTAGCATGGCAGCGGTGGATGTGTGGAAGTGGCGCTTCCCGTCGGGAAAGCTGTCTATCGTTGTTGCCTGCATGATGTCTTTGAGATCCATCTTGGTGAACATGGAGAGGGTCCTGCAGTAGCGTGTGCTGCCGGGAAGACAGCTCCCTTGAAGGATGCAGGCCATGTCGTCCGACCACGGCTCGTAGGCCTCTCCGAACCGGGACCCGCCCGAAGAATGACATTTCCAGCCCGTGTGGACCTGACGCTGGACGCCCTGTGCGACATCGTTGCGGTGGTTGTGAATCTGTGTGGTGTTGCCTACTGCTGTGGCTGCTGCAGCAGCTCTCTTCTGGGCGATCTGTTTAAGGGCCTGCATGAGAGATTTCTGCACATCGTTTTGTTTGAGTTCTAGGATAACTCTCTGGTGTCCTTGGATAAAGTGTGACATACGCTGCATGTTGCTTCAGACGTCGGCTTCTTATGGTGTTCAATGAGCAGTTCCTGTATTCTTGACAATTCCTTGATACCTGGATAGAGATCAAACCATTAGAAAATTAGATCTATCCAATATTAAAACAAAAACAAATAAACATGTAGGCCTACATTAATAAAAAATAAAAAAAAGAAAAACTGTGCGCCATCTACACGTTCGTAATGGCGTTATCACAGTTTTTCCTTCATAATCATTTTGCCTTCGGCGTAGACTAGAAGGGATAAGATTGACTGCAGCGAGAGTTTAACACGGCTTGCAAGATTTTCAACATGGATGTCGATTTTGACCCATAATTTCCTTAAAAGGGACCATTAAACGGATTATTTCAATCAAGTTAGTAAGTGGAACCGATGTATTATAGCCTAGGCCTAATTTAAAATTGGATATGGACAAGGTAAAATGACATTTTGGGGGCATAACAATACGGCCGTGACAAGTTTGTCATGTTTGTGGGAGGGGCCTAGCGGCTAAAATCTAGCCGTGATATCTTCAACATACGATGGTATAGGCGATCGTTCAGTCTCTATGACTGGAGGTCTAGTGGAGCCAGACGTAGTCTCAGTGGAACAACCGACGATTATAGAGACTGAAGCTTTCGGTCTAACCCTGTGCGTGAAGTTAGGTCACGTTGTTTTTATGACTTTTTTAGATGCAGTGTGCACGTACGATCAAACATCAAATTTTTAGATCGCGATATCTCCGAAATCCTTCAACGATAAATTTTGTAGTTCAATCAATCTGTAGTAAAAAACTTTGCCGTCCATTTGGTAATAATTTAAATAAATACATTTGTGTACAATATGAGAAATCATAGATCGGATAGAACTTTGGTCACCCCTTCATACATTCATTGCTAGCGGTCATCTCCGATCTGTGTTTGAGAAAAGAAGGAGTTGGTTAAATCATGATAAATGGTTAGCAAAGATAAAAGCAAAGGATGAGGTATTGCATGACGAGACAAATTTTGTACATGTTTTCTCAACTTCTGCACGTCTAAATCATTATCAAGTCACTACACAAACTTACCGGTTGCCTTCGGGTGTCTCTAGGCCTGCAGGTAGCTCGCTCTAGCCCTCGCTCTCACTTGGCTCAGCTCTGCTTCTGATTTGCAAGTTTGCAGGATGGCGATTTCCAACAAAACCGTTTAAAACTCTTGGTTAACCCGTGCTCTGATGTGAAATAGTATGACTATTGTTCACCTTTGCAGTCTACTAAATTATAGTGGAATATACAATGCTTTTTTTGGTTATTTATTGTATCAAAGTTCAAAGAGCTTACGCAATCTTCTTCTTTTCACGTCGGGTCGTCGTGATCGTGGCGGATGACATGTAAAGTTGCGAAGTATGGAACGCACCGTACATTCTGGATTTAAATGTAAACAAAATTGATGTGTTATTGTTTGCATTGTTTAAAAAGAAATGATCGACCTGTTTTAACGAAACTATTCATGGAAAAATTCTTTTTTTCTTCTTCAGTTTTCTGTTATGTACATTGAAAACTTTCCTCCCCCCCCCCCCCCCCAAAAAAAAGCCCCGGTGCAAGGGGTTCATGCCGCATTTCATAAACACTGATAAATGTGATTCCTCCACTGACCTCTACACATAATGAGAGTTTCTTCACAATTTTAAAAATAATTGGTGTGCTTAATTAACTGCGTATTATATGTTTTAAATGTATCTGAGTAGTTATAGAAAAAGATAAACTGGTTGATAACTGTGTTCGAACTTGTAAACGAATGTTGTAATAGCCTTAACAAGTTGGGAATAGGGGGGGGGGGGGGTCAAACGCAAAACAAATAAGATTCTGATTGGTTGAAAGTAGCGTTTCGTATTTTTATTTAGCAAGTTTTCATGCAATAGGCACCAGTAAGTCTTGTTTCAAGATCACAAATAGCACTTATTAAACAGAAAATAAAGTATAACTTCTAAAACTGAAGAAAAAAAACATCAAATTCAAAGACAAGTTTAGCAACGAAATCAAGGGGGGCGCTCCCTTATCCTGGTGATGGGGTCACCCGTCTCGTCTTTTCTACTTTGAGATTCAGTTGGCACCAGTCATTTTCATACTGTGCTCTATTCTAGTAATAAGTGCCGGGGTAGAGTGACATAAGACATTAATTCATGATCCTATAAAGAGGGATATGGCAGACCCACATTCTCCCTTTGTCAGGCTTTGACCCCCACCCCCCCCCCCCCCCCCCCCGCCACAGTTTTATACTTTATTCACTGGCCCGCATTACTCCCAAAATATTTCTACACCTCTTATTGCCGTGCCGTGGGCCCTGACTTGGTTTCGGGTATGAGCCCTCTCTTCTGAGATCGATTGATTGATTGATTGATTTGATTGATTGATTTTTATTCGACAAGCTTCCAACATACAACAATATACAATAATAACAGATCAAAAAAAAGTCAGCTTGAACAGGATAACCCACGAAAGCTCGAGAGCTTATTTCCAGTGGGGTCCCTTACAGACATGTATAAAATTAATAAGTTAAAATAGTAATATTTACAGACAGATAAGAAAATTAAAAGAACTACTTATTAAAGATAATAATAATAACAAAATTAAACTGATGATAGAAATGATATTAAGTACAAGAAGAAAAAGAAGAAGGAGAAGAAGAAAAAGAGGAGAAGGAAGAAGAGGAAAATAATGATGAATTTGTAGAATTCACCCCTCTCCTCCCACCCCCCCCCCCCCCCCCATCCATTCCAACTCCCTGGTTATACATTAATCACTGGCCCGCATTATTTCCAAAATATTTCTACTCCTCTTAATATTTGTTTGTGTCGTGGGCCCTGATTTGGTGTCGGATATGGGCCCTCACTGCTCCAGTCACAGAGATTCTGATGGGCCTTAGAGTCTTTAATTAATTTTGTAGGATCAAAATATCTGGTTTGTCTTGATTTAGACCTCAAGATGTAAAACAATATCGTGCTGATGTCAATGTGTTTCACGGTTACAGTGGAAACTCGTTGTTATGAGGACAATCAAAATTAACTTTGATAATCAGGTATCTTATTTCATCATGGTAAAAAATAATATATAAAGAACTAGGACCAACAAAATGGGGTCTGGTCGCTAGTCATAAGGACAGTAGTTATTCATAAGGACCGCTACTCATATAGGACCGCTATTCATAACGTGGAACTTCCCATACCTGCAGATTGCAAAACCGCTGTTCATAATTATTGAAGAAGAGGGTCATTATTAAAACTATTTATTATCATATATTTTTCTTTTCTACAAAATAGAAATAAACCACCCATCCCATGCATATTCAGACAAGGTTATGGAAGGAAAAACAACGAATATCATAAGGAATAATAAGAAAAATGATAGAAAGATGCAAACGAAGTAAGAAAAGGTGATAGAAGGAAGAAACAAAGGATATCGTATAATGGGAAAGATATAGGAGAAGAAAATAATAGAATAATAAAAACAAAGACTATCTTAAGACAAGGTGATAGAAGGAAAAACAATGAATAACTTCATAAGAGAGGGGATAAACAACGAATAACATAAGGAATGATAAGAAGGAAAATGAGAAAGATAAAAACGAAGAATAACCTAAGAAAAGGGAAGAAGAGAAAGTGAGGAATGAGTGACACACTAAGAATAGCATTAGAGACGGTGATAGAAGGAAGAAATGACATAGGAAAGAAAGAAAAAAATAGTTAGAAGGAAAACAAAGAATATCATGAGAATAGATAGGAAGAAAATAATAATAGAATAATGGCAACAAACAATAACACAGAAGAAGAAAAAACAAAGAAAGAGAAAATGATACTTTGCATGATCACGTTCACGGAGTGTGGGGCCGGGTTTGAAAGATAATGGAAACTGACAACGAATTAATATGAAGAAGAAAAAAGAAAGTGATAGAAGGAAAACAAAGAATAACATGAGGAGAGTAGGAAGAAAAAAATGATAGATTAATAAAACAAAGCATAACGTAAGAAAAGGTGATAGAAGGAAGAAACGAAGAATAACATAAGGAAAGACAGATGATTAATGATTTAATGATTTGATAATGATCATTGTCGTCAGTCGCTAGCTTCACGAACGCGCGCGCCCGGCCGCACCCACCATCGGTAGCAGCCTATACATAGAGATATATACTTAATAAGGCGTAGTAGTATATATCTCTATGAGCCTATACTACTTCTTCGAATGTGATGAACTCGCTGATCTCCGAAAAGCGAAGGGACAACACTAGCAAAGAAAGGTACGTGTATAGTATATTGTGCAGCGGTTTGTCGTGAAACCTTCGTTTTTAGGAAAACTACTCCAAAAAAGATAATTGACGCGAAAGGGGTAAGAAACATAACGAATTTAAAATCATGACCATTATTTGAACAATAATTTAGTTGATATGTTGGTATGTTTTAGGCATGGGTGTCGATCCCAGGGGGGGCCGGGGGGGGATGGGGGATATATTCCCCCCCCCCCCAATATTTCATTTTATGAATTTATTCAATCAACAGCATCATAGAAATGCAGAGCGCCAAATGCAAAGCCGCAGCGTTAAAAAGTAACGAGCAACGAGCAACGAGCTAAATATTATGCTACCCACCACTCGGGCTGTGCATGCAAAGATTTGCGAACGAACGTTCCAAACGTACTTCATGTGGGGAAACTGAATTCAGACAAGGATTAATATACAGAACAGTACAACGAGTCGTCTTCTTTCTCTAATAATTAAGTGAAACGGCTAAGCTTCCGCGCATTGAGTGGGATGGGGGGGGGGGGGCAATTGAATTCAGACTAGGATTAAGAGTTATAATTAAATGAAACATCAAAGTACACGATACAACGAATCGTCTTCTTTTTCTAATAATGTAATGAAACGTGAAAGCTTCCGCGCTATCCGCGGGATGGTTGAAAGTGATTTCAGACGAGGATTAAGAGTAATAATCAAATGAAACGTCGAAGCTTCCGCGCTTCGCGCGGGATGGGGGGAAACTAAATTCAGACAAGAACACGATACACAAAATCGTCTTCCTTCTCTAATAATTTAATGAAAATGTAAAGCTTCCACGCTTCGCGCGGGATGGACAAAAGTGAATACAGATAAGGATTAAGAGTAATAATTTATTGAACCGTCGAAGCTTCCGCGCTTTGCGCGGTAAAGGGGAAAACTGAATTCTATATCATCATCTTCCTTCTCTAATAACGAAATGAAATGTGGAAGCTTGCGCACTTCGCGCAGGAATGAGCGAAAATGAATTCAGACAAGGATTAAGAGTAATAATTTATTGAACAGTCAAAGCTTCCGCGCTTCGCGCGGTAAAGGGGGGGGGGAACTGAAATCTATATCATCATCTTTTTTCACTAATAATGTAATGAAATGTGCAAGCTTGCGCGCTTCGAGCAGGAATGGGCGAAAATGAATTCACACAAGGATTAAGAGTAATAATTAAATGAAACGTCAAAGCTTCCGCGCTCCGCGCGGGAGGGCGGGGGGAATTGCACTCAGACAAGGACACGATACAACGAATCGTCTTCTTTCTCTAATAATATAATGAAACGTGAAGCTTCCGCGCTTCGCGTGGAATGGGCGAAAATGAATTCAGACAAGGATCAAGAGCAGTAATTTATTGAAACGTCAAAGCTTCCCCGCTTCGCGCGGGAGGGGGGGGAACTGAATTCAGACAAGGATTAAGAGTCGAGAATGGTACATCGAATCGTCTTCTTTCTTTAAAAACCTAAAGACCTATGCGCGGTGGAAGGGAACTTGATTCAAACAAGGAATAAGAGTCGATAACGGTCCAACGAATCGTCTTCTTTCTCTAATAATTTAATGAAACGTCAAAGCTTCCGCGCTTCGCGGGGGAGGGGGGAAACTCCTCCCTCCCTGCACCCAACCCCTATAGGGAGCGCGCTTCGCTAGCTCACTTCCGACCCCCTAAAATGAAATCCTGGCTACGCGTTTGGGGAGGGGGGTACAACCTGCCACGTGCGATCTATCCCTTGGTTGCTTTGATCCATTGCCGAAAATATTTTGGCACCTGTCATCCCCCCCCCCCCCCCCAACCACGGATACGAATCGACACCCTTGGTTTTAGGTGTCTCCACGCAGGAGTTAGGGGTCAAAGTCTGAATACGAAAGTATAAGCTCTCCTCTCAACCAGGACTGTCCTCAACTCTTGGAACCGGAAGTTGGATAGAGACAAGTGACGGAGGAGTCGACCAGTAACAAGTAAAAAAAAAAAAAATAACTGCCTTGTCCATAAAAATGATTAATGGTGATGATATTGATGACACATCACTTAAAGCATTGTCTGTGCAACTCTAGTCATTACTAGAAAGGCCAAATAAAAAACAAAACATGTTTAGGGTCCTGTTTTTTCAAAAAATAGGAAGGAGGGGTCCTTTTTTTTTTTCTTTCAAAATAATAGTCGCTCAAATGGCCGCTAGGTGCATTTTCCCTGACGGTCGGGCTATTTTTCAAGATGGCCGCCGACATTTTTATTTGTTATTAAATCAGGAATAGATTCATTTTAGCAGTGTTTTTCATGTTGTATTTTCTTTAAAAAAAAATTAAAAAATAAAAAAAATAGGAGGCGGCCCCCAAAAAGGAAGCGGGCGGGGACGCTTAACATGTATATTTTTTTAAATGGCCTAATAATTTCACATCTTTTTCTGTAGCTAACAATCATGGCAGAAACAGGAGGATTTCTCGACACCCATACAACATCTACCTACTCGCCTACGACAACTACGCAGACGGCGTCACCAAGAGTCCGGTGTACTATCGACAAAGGATATGCCACATCACTGCCTAGTATCATTAGGATAGTAGAGATTGTGAGTATATGATTTTCCCTTTTTTTTGGGGGGGGGGGGGTTAATGTAATATTGCTGACCCCATGATCGAACATACAAACAGGCCTCCATACAGTTGTTTTTTTGTGAATTACAAAACCAAGAGGTACATAAATAACGATCCTTTAAGAATATAAGTAGCAGGGGAAAAAAACAATTAAAATAAAGATGTGTTGTATAAGATGAAGTCCCGATGAAGTACAGCTTTGCTCTGATTTGTTTGAAATCTGCACAGGAAACTCCTCTCTGCAAATTGTATTCTGTATTCAAATGAACTTAACTTAGGGGATCATTTTGAAGAAAAAAAAGAAATACCTGAAATGATGGATGGAAATATCATCAATTAGAGGGAAAAAAGAAAAAACACCCCCTTTTTAAAGAAATCTCCGGGTGAAAAGTCAAATACACCCCTTTTTTTACAATTCTAGGGCCGGACTTTGTCGCACGAAAAGTACCCCTTTACCGGACATTTTGGCAACACGCATGCGGTCATTCCGACCCCTGAGTGGGGGGGGGGGGGGGGGGCCGGGTCTCTCCACTGATCGCGCAATCCCCAAATTTCCGTCCACACGAATTCGAGGTCCAGATTTAGAGAATGGCTAGGTCTACTTTCAACGTTGAGGGTGTGTTATTTCATCAGCAGATTGGGTGCGCTAAACGAAAACGGTACAGAGGCTGGACTAGGGCACTCACTGCTCGAGTCACAGAGATTCTGGATGGAGACATCAAGTAAAGGGTTATAAAAATGATCTCCATCTGATTTGCTTTAAGTCTTTAATTTGTATGATCAAAATATCTGGTTTGTCCGAGTGATTTTAGACCTCAAGATGTAACAAAAATATTAATACGTGTTGATGTCAGTGTGTTTCCAGTTATACAGTGGAAACTCCTTGTTATGAGGACAATCAAAATTAACTTTGATATATCAGGTATCTTGTTTTATCATGGTAAAAATAACATATTAAGAGCTAGGACCAACAATATGGGGTCAGGTCGCTATTCATAAGAACAGTTATTCGTAAGACCGCTATTCATAAGGACAGCTATTCATAAGGACAGCTATTCATAAGGACCGTTATTCATAAGGACCGCTATTCATAAGGACAGTTATTCATAAGGACCGCTATTCATAAGGACCGTTATTCATAAGGACCGCTATTCATAAGGACCGCTATTCATAACGTGGAACTTCCCATACCTGCAGCCTGCAGGACCGCTATTCATAATTGAAGAAGAGGGTCATTATTAAAACTATTTATCATCATATATTTTTCTTTTCTACAAAAATATAAATAAACCACCCATCACATGCATATTAAGACAAGGTTATGGAAGGAAAAACAACGAATATCATAAGGAATATAAGAAAATTATAGAAAGATGCAAACGAAGTAAGAAAAGGTGATAGAAGGAAGAACAAAGGATAGCGTATAATGGGAAAGATATAGGAGGAGAAAGTAATAGAATAATAAAAACAAAGACTATCTTAAAGGAAACCAAAACCTTCATACAAAGTTACTTTTATTGTAAAGTTTAAGATATTTGAAAAATATCAGTGAAAATTTGAACAAAATCGGGCAGGAATAAGGAAGTAAGAGCTTTTTTGAAATGACTAGTCACTAGAGGCGGTATTCAATTTGATGCCATCATCTGTGGACAACTCTCCATGCCTTTTGTACATCAAATTTCATGTTTTTCCTTCTTTCTTGTGATTGAGATAATGTACTCCCCCGAAAGCAAGATATAGAATGCAAAATGATATTCTACTTCACATGTTATGAAGTCGGATCAAGAACACAAATAAATACGAAGAAAACAAAAAATTGTGAGATTTTATGTACAAAGGCATAGAGAGTTGTTCACAGATGATGTCATCAAATTGAATACCGCCCTCTAGTGACTAGTCATTTCAAAAAGCATTTTATGTGTCTCATTATAATGTGGTGAAATTTTTTAGATTATCCCATGTCTGTATTATGAGAGCAGAACTAGTGGCCATACTAATGGCACTAGAGTGGATTAATACATTTATTGAATCCTCTTCGGTGGTAATTTTTAGCGACGCTTTGTCAGCTTTACAAATGATCGATTCATACTTTATTAGATGTGCTATTGTAAATGAAATTTTATCCATAATTAATATTTTGCAGTTTAAGGATGTTTGTGTTGCTTTTGAATGGATTCCGTCACATTGCGATATTAGGGGCAATGAGATCGTAGATCGGGCTGCCAAAAAGGAGCCATGAAAAGGTGTATAGACATAGTTATACCAAATACAAGAAGTGAATTGGCAGCCTCTCGTTTGATCCATTATAACAAATTATGGCAAGCAGAATGGGACAATGCAGAACACGGTAGATTTTTATATGCTTTGCATAGCGACGTTTCAAAGCCCATACATAGACAAGGCCTATCTCGCAGAGAAGAATGCTTGATACAACAACTAAGAGTAGGTAACTGTAGTTTAAATTATTACCTTTTTCAAATTAACCAACACGATACTGGTCTTTGTGAAGTTTGTCAAGAAGATGAAACAATTAAACATTTTATTTTCTATTGTACAAAATACGACAAAGATAGACGTCTCTTAAAAGAAAGGATTAATTGAACAACCCCAATCTGAAACAATATTGATGTCTAACCCAATTTTCACTCGTGAATTATTGGGTTACATATACGATACTAATCGTTTTAGATAGCTTTTAAAGCTATCAGGGATCCCCTTAACTTATGTCGATCCTGTAATAATATATAAAATGAAGTATTTGCGGTTTTTTCCATGAACAATTGCAACTAACTCCCATCTCGCCTTTTATGTGCATTTTATGCAATTTTAATATTGCAGCTTTTTTTTTTTTTTTTTTTTTTTTTTTTTTTTATAAAACCATATCACTATTAATTTCATTTCACCAAGGAAAGTCGCTCGTGGGCTTGATTTCCGAAGCCCACGCCAAAGGTATACACGAAATTGACTGGCGCAATAATCTTTGAGATTGAAGAGCGCCATCTAAACGAAGAACCAACCACCAACAACCTCTTACTTCCTTATTCCTTGCCCGATTTGTTCAAATTTTCACTGATTTTATTCAAATCTTTTAAACTTTACAATAAAAGTAACTTACTATGAAGGTTTTTGGTTTCCTTTAAGACAAGGTGATAGAAGGAAAAACAATGAATAACTTCATAAGAGAAGGGATAAACAACGATTAACATAAGGAATGATAAGAAGAAAAATGAGAAAGATAAAAGAATAAACATAAAAAGGGGAAGAAGAGAAAGTGAGGAATGAGTGACACACTAAGAATAGCATTAGAGACGGTGATAGAAGGAGAAATGACATAGGAAAGAAAGAAAAAAATAGTTAGAAGGAAAACAAAGAATATCATGAGGATAGATAGGAAGAAAATAATATTAGAATGATGGAAACAAACAATAACACAGAAGAAGAAAAAACAAAGAAAGAAAATGATACTTTGCATGATCACGTTCACGGAGTGGGGGCCGGGTTTGAAAGATAATGGAAAAAAAAAGTGATAGAGGAAACAAAGAATAACATGAGGAGAGTAGGAAGAAAAATGATAGTTTAATAAAACAAAGCATAACGTAAAAAAGGTGATAGAAGGAAGAAACGAAGAATAACATAAGAAAGACAGATGATTAATGATTTTATGATTTAATGATTTTGGTAATGATCATTGTCGTCAGTCGCTAGCTTCACGAACGCGCGCGCCCGGCCGCACCCACCATCGGTAGCAGCCTATACATAGAGATATCAGATAATTTATACTTAATAAGGCGTAGTAGTATATGAGCCTATACTTCTTCGAATGCGATGAACTCGCTGATCTCCGAAAAGCGAAGGGACAACACCAGCAGAGAAAGGTACGCGTATAGTATATTTTGCAGCGGTTTGTCGTGAAACCTTCGTTTTTAGGAAAACTACTCCAAAAAAAGCTAATTGACACGAAAGGGGTAAGAAACATAACGAATTTAAAATCATGACCATTATTTGAACAATAATTTAGTTGATATGTTGGTATGTTTTAGGCATGGGTGTCGATCCCGGGGGGGGGGGGGGGTGGGGGGATATATCCCCCCCCCCCAATATCTCATTTTATGAATTTATTCAATCAACAGCATCATAGAAATGCAGAGCGCCAATGCAAAGCCGCAGCGTTAAAAGCAACGAGCAACGAGCAACGAGCTAAATATTATGCTACCCACCACTCGGGCTGTGCATGCAAAGATTTGCGAACGAACGTTCCAAACGTACTTCATGTGGGGAAACTGAATTCAGACAAGGATTAATATACAGAACAGTACAACGAGTCGTCTTCTTTCTCTAATAATTAAGTGAAACGGCTAAGCTTCCGCGCATTGAGTGGGATGGGGGGGGGGGGGGGCAATTGAATTCAGACTAGGATTAAGAGTTATAATTAAATGAAACATCAAAGTACACGATACAACGAATCGTCTTCTTTTTCTAATAATGTAATGAAACGTGAAAGCTTCCGCGCTATCCGCGGGATGGTTGAAAGTGATTTCGGACGAGGATTAAGAGTAATAATCAAATGAAACGTCGAAGCTTCCGCGCTTCGCGCGGGATGGGGGGAAACTAAATTCAGACAAGAACACGATACACAAAATTGTCTTCCTTCTCTAATAATTTAATGAAAATGTAAAGCTTCCACGCTTCGCGCGGGATGGACAAAAGTGAATACAGATAAGGATTAAGAGTAATAATTTATTGAACCGTCGAAGCTTCCGCGCTTTGCGCGGTAAAGGGGAAAACTGAATTCTATATCATCATCTTCCTTCTCTAATAACGAAATGAAATGTGGAAGCTTGCGCACTTCGCGCAGGAATGAGCGAAAATGAATTCAGACAAGGATTAAGAGTAATAATTTATTGAACAGTCAAAGCTTCCGCGCTTCGCGCGGTAAAGGGGGGGGGGGAACTGAAATCTATATCATCATCTTTTTTCACTAATAATGTAATGAAATGTGCAAGCTTGCGCGCTTCGAGCAGGAATGGGCGAAAATGAATTCACACAAGGATTAAGAGTAATAATTAAATGAAACGTCAAAGCTTCCGCGCTCCGCGCGGGAGGGCGGGGGGAATTGCACTCAGACAAGGACACGATACAACGAATCGTCTTCTTTCTCTAATAATATAATGAAACGTGAAGCTTCCGCGCTTCGCGTGGAATGGGCGAAAATGAATTCAGACAAGGATCAAGAGCAGTATTTATTGAAACGTCAAAGCTTCCCCGCTTCGCGCGGGAGGGGGGGGGGAACTGAATTCAGACAAGGATTAAGAGTCGAGAATGGTACATCGAATCGTCTTCTTTCTTTAAAAACCTAAAGACCTATGCGCGGTGGAAGGGAACTTGATTCAAACAAGGAATAAGAGTCGATAACGGTCCAACGAATCGTCTTCTTTCTCTAATAATTTAATGAAACGTCAAAGCTTCCGCGCTTCGCGGGGAGGGGGGAAACTCCTCCCTCCCTGCACCCAACCCCTATAGGGAGCGCGCTTCGCTAGCTCACTTCCGACCCCCTAAAATGAAATCCTGGCTACGCGTTTGGGGAGGGGGGTACAACCTGCCACGTGCTTCTATCCCTTGGTTGCTTTGATCCATTGCCGAAAATATTTTGGCACTTGTCATCCCCCCCCCCCCCCCAACCACGGATACGAATCGACACCCTTGGTTTTAGGTGTCTCCACGCAGGAGCTAGGGGTCAAAGTCTGAATACGAAAGTACATAAGCTCTCCTCTCAACCAGGACTGTCCTCAACTCTTGGAACCGGAAGTTGGATAGATACAAGTGACGGAGGAGTCGACCAGTAACAAGTAAAAAAAAAAAATACTGCCTTGTCCATAAAATGATTAATGGTGATGATATTGATGACACATCACTTAAAAGCATTGTCTGTGCAACTCTAGACATTACTAGAAAGGCCAAATAAAAAACAAAACATGTTTAGGGTCCTGTTTTTTTCAAAAAATAGGAAGGAGGGGTCCCTTTTTTTTCTTTCAAATGTTCGCTCAAAATGGCCGCTCGGTGCATTTTCCTTGACGGTCGGGCTATTTTTCAAGATGGCCGCCGACATTTTTATTTTTGTATTAAATCAGAAATAGATCCATTTTAGCAGTGTTTTTCATGTTTTTTTTTCTTTAAAAAAATATAAAAAATTAAAAAAATTAGGAGGCGGCCCCCAAAATGGAAGCGGGCGTGGACGCTTAACATGTATATTTTTTTTAAATGGCCTAATAATTTCACATCTTTTTCTGTAGCTCACAATCATGGCAGAAACAGGAGGATTTCCCGACACCCATACAACATCTACCTACTCGCCTACGACAACTCAGCAGACGGCGTCACCAAGAGTCCAGTGTACTATCGACAAAGGATATGCCACATCACTGCCTAGTATCATTAGGATAGTAGAGATTGTGAGTATATGATTTCCCCCTTTTTTTGGGGGGGGGGTTAATGTAATATTGCTGACCCCATGATCGAACATACATGTACAAGCAGGCCTCCATACAGTTTTTGTGTTTTTTTTGTGAATTACAAAAAAGATCAGTCAATGGAAACTGCTAGGAACAAAACCAAGAGGTACATAAATAACGATCCTTTAAGAATATAAGTAGCAGGGGAAAAACAAAATTAAAATAAAGATGTGTTGTATATTAAAGATGAGTACAGCTTTGCTCTGATTTGTTTGAAATCTGCACAGGAAACTCCTCTCTGCAAATTTTATTCTGTATTCAAATGAACGTGTCTGTGAAAACACATTATATTTTTCACCATTAGTTCGTTTTGAATTTTGTTTGACCAATCTATGTAAATACATTTGATTTGTACTGGAATCACTACACTATATACTGCAATTTTTTATGTCATGCATCAAATCATAAATGTAATGCATGGGAATTTTCATGGTTTCATTCATTTCATAAATCATTTTATGAACTTTCAGTTTTGCTGTAACTCGCAGGATATCCTGTTTTAACCTTAAAGGGAACCAAAACCTTTGTACTAAGTTACTTTTATTTTTTGAAATAACTAGTCACTAGAGGGCGATATTCAATTTGATGACATCATTTGTGGACAACTTTCCATGCCTTTTGTACATCAAATTTCATGTTTTTCCTTCTTTCTTGTGATTGAGATAATCTACTCCCCTGAAAGCAAGGTATGGAATGCAAAATGAGATATTCTACTTCACATGTTATGAAGTCGGATCAAGAACACAAATAAATACAAAGAAAACGAAAGAATTGTGAAATTTGATGTACAAAAATTCAGCGAGCGTATAGGATTTCAAATAAATTTTGATGTATGATATAAAACAAATATACCCTGCCTTCTGTTCGAGGTACTGGTTAAAACTATGGGCCTTGGTGGCTCCAATAGTAGTATTGGAGTCACTCCTTGCCCATAGTTTTAACCAGAACCTCTCAAGACAGTGTATATGTGTATACTATCTTTAATGATCGATATCGATGGCAACACAGTATTTGGTACATTCTTTATTTTTTTTAATGCCTTTAATGAGATTTTTTTTCTCCAAGCTTGGCTTAAGCCGGGTAAGGAGAGTGCATGCATGTATTCAGCACTTGTATCCTTCAGAAGAAATGCTATACAGATTCAACATTTTATTATTAAGATCATTATTGAAATATCAGTTTCATCTACCCGTAATGGTATCATATTCAGGGCTGTCTACTCAGCAAGCTAAATTGAAAGCAGCAATGTACATGGACATATGAGATCACCTCTTTGACTATGGTTTGTATGTACCAGTACATATCAAGTATAGCATACACTAGACAAAATTAATGTCAGCACACGGGCTTCCTGTTTCAGGGGAAAACAAAGGAACCGACATTTCCTATTGTTCCGCCGCATTGTCAGTGTGTTGGTTTAGGATTCTCTGTTGCAATAGCTCTATTCACACCGTCGTACTTTTGAACTTAAAGAGAGGGTTTATTGATTTTGAATTTGACTGAATGTGGTATCATTGCAATCGTAAACTTACACTGTTTTAACTTGTAGGTCCATTAAAGTCCATTAAAATTGCAACAAAAAAACCCACTCAAGACCTCGAAAACGATCGTAATACAGCTGAATTTTCAGTGACGTCATGAATGAGAAAAAATGGGCCACTCAGCTGAACTGATTGACAACGGTGCTGTATTGCATTGAGTGCCGTACCCATTTATAACTGACGTACGTACTTTACCTTCATCAAAATCATCAAATCCCCTGGGGATATCGAAATGGACAAAACATACTGTAAACGCGCAAATATTTGCGGTACATTCATTTTCGCGATTTCGCTCTAAGATCTGCAAGCGCAAATTCTAGAACTCGCAAAATATAAGCATGACTTCTTATTTGGTTTTGAATGGGCTAAATTGCTTGCACGCGTATTTAAGAACCTGCGAATATGTTTTGTTTCAAGCTCGAAAAATTAATGACGTGAAAATAACAGCGTTAAGTTATGATAAAAAACGAAACTGAGAATTATCAATGTTTTATCATAACTTTTTTTTGTTTGTTGAAATAAATCTTTATTCAGATAAAATCATGGATAACATCGTAATACATAAATATTCATATCATAACTCAATCACAATTTTAATATGACACATATTTGAAAAGCTTAGATCCTCCTCTTTCATTTGATGCAACTCATATGATGCATATTCACCAACAAGTTATTTTGCGGCGGTATATGAATTTCAAAGAAAAAGTTCATTTTCTGCCCTTTCATTTGACACCTCAATCAGGAAAAATGAGCCAGGAATAACAAAGTTCTGTTTGTTCAAAGTAATGCTTGCGTTTCCATAATTTGATTAAACGAATTCGTTTTCACTGGCTGCCTGCTGTAGTAACGAACATAGTTGACAAAAGACTTAACTCTGGTTCGTTGACGATCGATTAGCCATGCACAAAGAAGACGAAAGACTTGATGCATGGCTGATCATCAACGAAAGTACGAAGCGGAGTAAATTTGTCGCCTATGTTGTTCCAGAAGTGTCGTTAGGTCATGCAAATTGTCCTTCGCACTCCCAGATCATACACGTACAGGCGCGTACACAGGGGGAGGGGGGTTAAAACCCCCCCCTTTGGTATTTTTCTGTGTGTAACCCCCCCCCCCCCCTTTGGATTATTTTTCTTTTTATTTATTAAAAAAAAATAATAATTAAAAAAAATTCCCATGGCTGACCTAAAAAAAGTGACCTCTTACCCCCCCCCCCCCCCCCCCTCCCCCCCCCCGCTTATTCAGCGGTCGGCTGAGTCGTTGCGGTTTTTTTTTTGGGACCAAAAAAAAGTGTCCTCTTACCCCCCCCCCCCCCCCCCCCCCCCTTTGGATTTTTTTTATTATTTTTATTTATTAAAAAAAAATAATAATAAAAAAAAAAATTCCCATGGCTGACCTAAAAAAAGTGACCTCTTACCCCCCCCCCCCCCTTTGAAAAAATCCTGCGTACGCGCCTGTACACGTACATGTACACGCTAACATGCGGGTAACATGCCCTCAATTATGTGATCATTATTCTGGTTTTTATGCTCAAATGTGACGGGAATAACATAAAAATCAAACAAACATTTGTAGAAAGTACTATTTATTCTGTATATCTCATTTAAAGTGCCAAAATAAAGGAAATATCCATATCTAAAAAATTGCAATGGGCATCCAACATTGTCCCGAATGTGTGATCTAGGGTAGTTCATTCACTGACGTCACACTTTTGCATGTGTTTTATCGCCATCAATTCAATTTGTGAGTGGATTCTGGAAAGGGTATCAAAATTGCATTTAATTTATTCCTCACGCTAGTGAAGGCTTAAAAAGTACCTTACCGGTCATCATTTTCTTCAGGTTCTCTGTAGAGGTATAATTTAGGCCAAACACACAAATGAAATGATTCTCATCCCCGCCTGCCCCTTATTGTTTTACTACCGGTATTTACTATTCAGAAGAAAAAAGCCAACAACAAAAAAGCAACAAAAAAAAGTAAAAAGCCTGTGATATATATTTTCTTTAAATAGCTTCTAAAGTGATACAAATCATTTGTTTTGTCATACATTGCATGATTGCATCAGTATACTCACATAGCACAATATCTGTGAATAATAGGCTTGGCCAGCTAGCATGGCAGCCATCTTGGAACAAACTCAAGATCAAAACAATCAAGTAACTACAAGCTGGCATAAGCTCAAAGTTAATTGCGTCTGCAGGGCATATAACTTCTCTGCTCGTATTTCGCTAACTTTAAGATCTGTCAATCTGTCATGGTTTGTAACTTAAAGCTTTATAACCATGAGTGCATCTGCACATGCCCTGACTACAAGATAACTTCAAAATTTAACCCAAGGCCTAAACTTAAAAGTAAAGATCACTTCTCAATCTGGTCATGCGATTGTGAAAGAAACGTTGTGGAATCGATCAGAAAAGGTTGATCATCTAGCATATATAAGCAGGCGCGTACGCAGGGGGGGGGGGGGGGGGAGTTTTAGGGGGTTAAACCCCCCCCTTTCGTAATTTCATGTATGTAACCCCCCCTAAAAAAACCTAAACCCCCCCCCCTTTTGATTTAAAAAAAAAAATATATATTATATATATATGCCCACGGCCGACCTAAAAAAAAGGTGACCTTACCCACCCCCCCCCGCTTATTCAGCTGTTGGCTGAGTCGTTGCGATTTTTTTTTGGGACCCAAAAAAAAATGACCCCCCCCCCCCCCCCCCCCCCCCCCCCCCCCCCCCCCCCCCCCATTTTCCCATGATTGGTAATAAGAGCTTCCATTTCATTTTTTGAGAGGGGGGCGTTTCCAAAATTGATCTTTACCTTTAAAGCTAACGGAATTGTGTGTGAGCCTCACTGATGGCTTCTTATATGTGTACATTATGTAACTCTCCCTACACCTTTTCTGTACTTCAAATTTAAATAAAAATAAGTAAATGATAACCTAACTTTAATTTTAATTCAACTTTAAACTATAATTTGAATAGCTACGTGTACATGTTTGTTTGTTAATGTCTGGATGAAAGTAACCAATAAGAACCGGTACATGTACCATTCAATAGAATGGGGGGGGGGTTGATGTAATAAGAACTTAATATAAATATCTCATGAAAAATTTAATTAAAATGACTCCATACCAGATAATGTATATTGAAGTTAATTATATAAGGTACATGTATATTACCATGGATAGAAAACTATATTTTTCACTGTTTAGTAAAGAGTATATTGCTTTTTTTTCTGTCAGTCCTGTCACTCTAATATATTGTCTTCTACTCTTTCAGTTTTGATATTCTGTGTATTATAGTGACTTCTCCCTCTCTGTCTGCTTCTTTCTTTCTGTCATTCTCGTTTTGTACTGTCTGTCTCTGTATGTTTGTGTTTCTCAGTTCAATGTTTTTTTATCATAATT